TTCCGAGGTTGTGAACGGACGAAAGGGTAAAGAACCAAACCAACCGCGGTCTTGGCATCGTCTTGGTTGCTTGGCTTGGCTTGGCTTGGCTGAGCCGTCTTACAGTCGCCAAGTCCCGTTGTGCTCGTCCTGATTGCAGCCTCTCATGGCTTGGCATGGCATTCTTGCCCTCCTAGTCCGCTCGTGACCTGGCCGTAATGATCTCCCTGATTTGCCCTTCCCTGACTCGGTTCGTTCGCTGGTCTGCTGGTCCATGAACCCTCCTTCAGGTCCCCAGATCTTGGCATCTCGCCCTCGTGGTTACTTCCTCCTCGTCCTATATACCCTAGGCTCTTGAGACTTTCTTTACTTGTTCATCCCCTTTCCTCTCCGCCCATCGTCATCACCACCACCTTGTCGTAGCCAAACGTACCTGCTCCCTTAAGTGACCTCGCGCACCTCTCGCACCTAGCCAATCGACCCTAATCACCGCATCGCATCTTTGACACATGCTTCCTTCAGGATCCTCCAACATGTCCAGACCGCACTCTACCTACCCCTCGGCGCCATGGGCGTCCAGTAGCGAGCACCACAAGGCTCCCTCCCATTACCACCAGCAACAGCACCAGGCGCAACAGCCTCACCTCGTTCACTCGGCCTACTCTGCATCCGCTGGTCCTTCCACCTACCGCGCTCTCTCCAGCGGCCACGCAGCATCATCCAGCTCTGCGCCTCACCACTCGCATGCCCCGGACACCTGGGCGCATCGATCTGTCTCCGCCTCTGGCCCACCCACCTCGCCTCTGCCACCCACATATGCTTCAGCAGTGCAGGGTAACACCAACACATCGACCGAACAGCCCATCATCCGCACCACCCACGTCACCTCGGATGGCACTACCATCTACGCGGCCACAGGGCGCAAGCGCAAGCGTCTGCAAAAAGCCTGCGTCGCCTGCCACAAGGCCAAACGTCGATGCGACGGCGGTCTGCCCTGCTCCAACTGCGACTTTAGCGGTCGCACTTGCTGCTATTCGGACTCCAATGGCAAGATGGTGCTCCCCACCGCACGTGTGGCCAACGAAGCCGGTTCGTCTCCGGGTCCTGCTGGTCATCCCGGTGCTAGCCTCCACCCTCCCGAGGCGCTCACTCCTACCTACGGAGCTATCGCCTCGGCCTCCAGTCCCAACGGCAGCGAAATCTCTGGACGCGCTCGCGCCAACACTCTAAGCTCCAAGTCGAGTCCCATGTCGTTGCCTCGCATGGAAGGATTGCCCACCATCGATGATGTCGCGCCTGAACGCAGGAGGGACCTCATCAGCATCTTCTTCTCCCAGATTCACCCATTCAGCTGCGTCATGGACGAGATCTCTTTCCTGCGCGACCTCTCCACCTCCGAGGTGCCCGCCTACTTGCTCATGGCTATGTTCGCGCTCGCTGCTCGCTTCGAGCAGGGAATCAGCGAGGCTGAGCGCGAGCGTCGCTTTGCTCAGGGTGAGGCTTTTGCTCGCTCTGCCCGTCGCATGCTCCAGGAGGAGGACCAGGATGGCTTCACGCTTCTCGATCGCCCAGACGTCGATCTCGCCCTCACGCTCTGCTTCCTCGCCGCGCACGAATTTGGCATGGGCCGTCTTCAGCGTGCGCTGTCCTACTCGAACGACGCCGTGCGCATCATCGCCTCACTCAAGCTCGTCGAAGGTCAGCTGCCACCGGCCCGCAAGAACAACTATGGGCGCGACTCGTTCGCCTCATCGTCGTGGCCCCGTCGCGCCACCTGCGAGCGCCTCGTGCTGCTTGCGTGGACTCTCGACATGACCCTCGCCGCCCTAGCCTCCCAGACATCGAGTGTGCGCCGATCGGATGTTCTCGCTGCTGGTCGCAAGTTTGGCACCTCGGGTGACGAGGCGCGCGACGATGTTACCAAGTCGTTTGCTCGCCTTGCCGAGATCGCTACCGTTTTTGGTCTCGTGATCGATGCCAACGAGCCGTGCAGCAAGGGCGAGGAGGCGCTTCAGTCGTGGGCAGGTGCGCTCGTCGTCGAGCACAAGTTTGACGACTACAACATGAAGTCGGCCAGCCGTCTGCTCGAGGAGCCCGAGGCGAGCGCCGCCTCGCATCGCGCCTGGTTCTGGGCGCAGATGCACCTATTGGCAGAGTGCTCCGTCTTCCTCATGGAAGCTCGTCGCGCCGGTGGCCCTCAGGCTGACCGAGGCCAGCAAAAGGCGGCGCTGGACAACATCAACCTGATCTTGTCGGTGCTCAGCATCACGGGTCGCCGCAACCTGTTTGCCTTCCCTGCTCTGCTCATCTGCACGCAGTACAGCCGCGCTGCGCCCGATGCCTCGCGCTGGTGGGCCACGGCGCGTCAGTGCTGGAACATGTCTGAGCAGCAGATCGCCGACGCCGCTCGGTTTTTTGTCAGGCCCAGTAACGACGCCCCCTCCCCACGTCCAAGGGGCATGGGATCCGATGCCAGTGAGTCGTTGAAGCTCCCAAGGCTGTCCAGCTCGTCTACTGGGAGCAACTCGGGACGATCCAACGCTCTGCCTTCGATCGGCAGGCTTCCGTTGCCATCGCTGCGCCTCTCGCCTCCGCTGTTCCCCAAGGAGAACCGCTCGCCACGCAGCTCGTTTGGCTCCAGGAGCGATAACGGTGCGGGCGACAACGACGGCATGAGCAGTGGCAGCAGCCCGGACTCTTCCTCCATCTCGCCTCGCTCGGCTCCTTTGGAGGTCGGTTCGGATGAGTATGTTTCTGTGATCGCCAACCGCGGCTCGCGATCGCCCCCGCTGTCGTCGCAGGCCTTTACCAAGGATCCTCGCAGCTCCTGGTCGCCCATCTCGTCGTTGCGTGGTGAGAAGCGCACCATCTCCGCCATTTCCACTTGAGGGCTTGATTGTATAATTAGTATCTACTCTGCAAAAGAAGTTGATGTATCATTGCTACATTCTTGAATGGCGTGCTTGGGTCAGTGAGGATGTGCTATCGGTCGACGATGGATGTGCGTGCGTCTAGCTGTTGTCTGAAAACGATGCTGTGTGACTCTGTCCGAATGCGCCCAAGTGTCTCTATACGAAGGTGCACTATGGGGTAAACGAAAGTAGGTCGTGCGGAGCGCGAGGCTGTACTAGTTCCGAGTGTCTTTGACAGGCTACGATATACTACTGTGACGTTCTCAGTCCTGCATATCTGGTGTGTTTTGGCCAGATTTGGAGCAGGAGAAGTATGACCATTTGTCTAGCATTCATCGTCTGACAGGCGTCGAAACGATATGTAGAGTAGGAGCCCGCACTCACATCCCGACGGAACTCGTTGAATAATTTTCCGATCTGCAGGTTGCAGCACTCGTTCTGAGAAGGCTGTGTGCATTCTACGCACACTAGCGACACAGCCTTTTTCCGCAATTCAGCTTAGAGCAAGAGCCCCTTCGACATCGGTTCGGTTTCAAGCGAGGTGCGGATCGAAGCCAGCCGTGTGGAAGGTTCTTGATCACGCCCCCTTCATGAGAATGTGTCTTGGCGATGCAAGTGATATGGAGGAGGGACGCCGGTTGATTAGCCGCTCGGGAGGGCGTGGGCGGGTAAAGAAATGGATTTTCCCGATGCACGGTTCTACACCTACATATACGACGTGTCTTGGCACTACGGACATCGCCTTCATCCATCAACACACCTCGCCCTACTTCACTGTCGCTCAAGAGCTTCGCATCACCCCTAGTCCTACACACATCTACACCGCTTCAAAACCATCATAAAAACGGGAACAGCCATGGATGAAGTGACTGGTTTCCTCTGCGGTGGATGCTGCGCTGTCGTATGCACTCAGATCCAATACCTGATTTGCGGTACTCGTAAGTTCAACCTCTTTCAACTATCTTTGTTCTCCTTGACGCCAATGATACTGACAAGCTATCCCATTTACTGTCGATGAATGCGACACAGGTCAATACGGAGCAGACTCGACATGCTGTGACAACTGCTGTCGATTCAACTGCGGGTGGAAGAATGACGCAGCGTTGCCGGTGGAGGACTATCCTATCGCGAACAGTGAAGCTCAGGATAGGACGCAGACGGTGGATGGGACTGGAGCGAAGGGAGAAGATGCGCCAGCGCCAGCGCCGGCGTATGAAGCGACACCGCAGATGTCGACAGGATTGGCACAGTCGGATGCTGCGGCTGGGCACACGCTGACAGGGCCAACAGAATCGGCACCAGCGGCGACGACGGATGTCAAGACTTAAGGATAGTCGACTTCGTGATGCTCTGAAGTCAGCTGAGCGGAAGTCTCAGCTTGCAACTCCTCGGATCTGCAGATCGACTCATACCCACATCCTGCAATCTACAGTGTTGTCAGCAGTGTTGTCAGGTACACTCTAACGTTAGGTTCACCAGTCATTATTGTCTATACCACCGAAATCAGGCCTATCTGTGCTTTTGCTTGACTAGCATGATGGCCTTATAAGTTTGATCTATCTTCCTAACCAACATACTTGGTATGACTACCACTGACCACCACCTTATCATCCTCCTCCCTACCTCCCGGCTTCCTACACAAGATCTTTACATCAATGAACGCCAGATTCCTGCCCACTTTGTTGCTCGTGCCCCGAATGATCAGCAGATCGCCTTGCTTGGCGGCGCCGACGTAGGTGGCGTGGATGTCGACGGATACACCGCGGTTCTTGAATCGATCGGGCGAGGTGGAGGCGATGACGATGCCGCCGATCCAGTCGATGATGGTGGCCGAGGTGGAGCCGTGCAGGATGTTCTTGCTGTTCATGAGGGTGGAGGTGATGGGCACTTGGGCTTCGATGAAGCCGGGTGAGACGGACGTGATGGTCAACTGGAGGGAGGAGGAAGGAGGAGGTTGGGACGAGTCAGTATCGATCACTGTTGGGAGCTGCGACCGCCTACACCAACAGCCGACAAGGTAGAGCCATCGAATGGAGCAAGTTCAGTGTGATCGCAGTGCTTCAACTGAGAGCGTATCTCTATCCACGCCAATGATTGGTCGTCCGGCCTGCTAACCACTTACATCGGAGAGAAGATACTTGTAGATCGGATTGTTATCCAATACCTGCTTCTGCAGCTCGTTTATCATCTCAAGCGTCACCGCGCCCTCGACGGCCGAAGGATTCGCCGCTTCCGACATCGTGGTTGTATCGTTTCGCTAGGAATGGTGGTGTTCCAATATGATGATGAAGTGTTGTTTCCAGCCGACTTATTCCTAACGTTTGCCCCACATCGAGAGCGCGTTTCCCAAAAAGCAATTCCCACGTTGCAGAGCGTGGGGGACAAAATGATGTTAGCGGCAATTTTGATGGTGTAACACGACTTGAATTATAAGTGTTCGGATGTCGGACTGCGCCTCCACCGTTCACGGAGCACGAAGGTTTTGGACCCTGCCTTGCTTCTTCCAGACCTAGGACAAGACACCTTTTTGCCGACACAAGCAAGCGGGCTGCCATCACGAGCATGTTCTCGTCCGCTGCTGGACCTTTTCAGCAACAGCTTCCGTCGAGCAGGTCTCAGACGCCGTTTCAGCGCCTCAAACCAATATGCGTGGAACTCCTCTCACTCGCAGGACGTCGAACCACAACAACACCATCGCAAACACAGCCCGTGGTAGCATGTTTGCGTCGACTCAAGAGCACGCTTCGAGCGCTTCTCTCCGACAGTAATGCAGACTCCAGGAACTTTCAAGCGTCGGCTGCGTCCTCATCAAAGCTGATCCCTTCCGGCGTGGAACCGACCCTCTCGCCATCCCTCATCAGCTATGTCTTCTACCCACTTTCGGAACTCATCAACTCTGCACCAAAGGGAATCACCAGCTTTCCGGACTCGATAGCGGAAGAGGTGCTCGAGGTACTGTCGGCGCTGTGCAGTCAATGGTGGACCAGCTGGGCGCCTGTCGATGCGGAAAGCAAGCATCGGCAGGTGTGGTGCGATCTCGTGATTCTGTCAAGCTCGGTGCTGGGCTCCCCGACTAGCAAAGCTGGAACAGATCTTGGACCGCAGCTGAGGCATGGCGACGAGGTCAAAGTAGCAGCACTGAGAGTTCTAGATGAGCTCCTTGCGCCTCGATTCAAGTCTCTTTGTTCAGCAAGTGCCACAAGAAATGGAAAGAATCGAGAATTCGAGTGGGAATGGGATGGCGTATCAGAGCTCCCGATGATGGACGATCAGCCAGCAGCCACAGCGAAACAGGAAGGATCATCCTCATATCGATCTGAAGGCGCCATGGTTCTCGTGTGCCCTACTCCAGCACACCTTTCATACGCTGCATCAGAAAGGGTCGCAAAGGGAGCTATCAGCTTTGTCTTGTCAACCTCCTTCGCCATCGCCGAATCCTCTCCAGAGTCTACGGAAGTGCGAACAGCCGCTATCAATGTCGCCCGTCACGCGCTACTGCTTTGGATCGGAGGAACCTGCACGCTTCCTTCAACGAGCCCGGGAGCCTTTCAACCAGATGTCCCGCCTCTACACCATACCGACCTCTCTCCATCCTCATCTACTGGCTCGAGCTCTGACAGCACATCAGCCCAGATCGCGACAGCTCAGCGACTACGTCCGCTCCTTCCCGGTATCACATCTTCGCTGACACGACTTGCGACGAGTCGAGTCAAGTCAAAGCAGGTTGGTTCGAAAATTAAACCCACTCCGAGCCCTGTTGCTACGTCAGCGATCGAGTTGCTCGGCGATCTACTCAGGGCTACCATCTCGGACCAGACTTTGCAGGACATCATCGTTCAGCACGAGCCCATCACTCAGCTTCGCTCTCGTACAGCCAGTGTGGATACGACGATTCCAGTAACCGACCTCGAAGACTTTGCCGACGCGCGACTCGGTGACGACCTCAGCTCGTCTTCAGCAGATGCGGACGTATCGAAAGAGCAAGATCTACGACCCGATGGATCAGCGCAAGAGGCGGACTCACCCGGGTCAGCTCTAAACAAGGATGCTCAGTGGGCTCTGTCAACACTAGCACAGGTCCATCTAGCGCTCAAAACGTTCTCCCCGCTCACACAACCTTCGCTCCCCGGAACAATGCTGCCATCCTCCGTTCACTCATCTGTCCAGATCTCTCTCCTGCGCCTCGCAGTGGCTCTGCTGTCCGAATGTGCAAGCTCCTTCCGGTGGCTCGACGAGCAGTTAGCAGGGATGGAACGTCTCGATACCAACGGGGACAGAAGCGCGACTTTGGAAAGCACAAATTCGTCCAGCATCACGACGCTGCTATCTTGGCTCATCGATCTTGCCTCAAAGGTGAATTTAGACACAGTGTCGAAGAATACAAGAGCAGCTTTCGACGCTTTGCAGCAGAGAGCGATGACAAGCAAGGGTGTGTCGAGCCTCGTTCAACTTGGCAACGGATCGATGCTGTGGAAGGTGCTCGTACAGGCATTCGACAGTCTGCCGTCAGCGATCACAGCACAGAACGACGCTAGCGTCTCCAGGCTCACTCTGCGCATAAGCACCAGCCTCGACCTTCTACAGCGACAAATGGGCCGAGACAGTCTCAACGTATCGGTCGGACTGGCAAAGCTGGCCCAGGAGATGCAAGGCGCATGCGTGCGCCTACTTCCTCCTCTGAGGATAGACAGACTCGAACACGTCGAAGAAACACCCACACTGTCCACATCCACCACATGGCGACTGCAACCCATCTTCTCTGGTCTGGAAGCAAGCACATCCAGCCACATCAGCAAGATGTTCTACGATCTCGGACGTGCTCTCGCCCACTCGCTTGTCAACGAGATCAAACGAGCCCCGGATAGCATTAAGATCGACTACAATCATATGTTTTCGCTGATCACATTTCTGGCGGAGAGAGCTGCTCGGATGAGGTCTATCCGGCTGGATGCTAAGGGCGCTGAGGGTGGCGCTAACGCAGATGCACGGATGAGGGAGGAGAGCTTGACGTCGCTCTTGGTGGCAGCGGACATGCTGCGTGGTGTCAGCAGCTGTTTGGACAATCTGGAGCTCGGAGTGCAATTCAGTGCGATGGGAGCTGGGGCAGGGCAGGCGAGCAAGCAGGCGAGAAAGGTGGCGCATAGGTTGGCGAAGAAGGTGTTTGGGCTGGTGATGGAGATGCTGGATGGGGATGCGGAGGAGGCAATTCGATCGAGATCTGACTCGGTTCGCGCCTCCGATGTGGTAGAACAGGATGCGGCTGATACGACCACAGAATCTTCCGAACTACTCTCCATCGAGAATGCGTCCGGATCAACCCTAGTGGAGCGAGTCAAAGGCATCTCACTGGCCACCACGGACATCTCCTCCTCCACCCCTGCACGACACGGTCCCGCCCTCGACCTTGCCTTCGTCCAAGCAGCCGACTTGACGAAACCCTCCACCTCGACTCAGACCTCCAACCAGCTCTCCCTTCAACACCGCTTCCGACAAGCCGAACAGAAAATCGACCAGTCCAATGCTCTGCTATTCTCTCTGCTCTCCAGCACGTCGAAGCTTCTCGGCCAATCGTTCCGGTGCCTCCTTCTTCGAGGAGCCTACCCCCTGATCAGCGGCATGTCAGCTTCCACCACCGCCTCATCCGACCTGGTCCGTCAATCGTCTGTTTCGGCGGTCAAAGACATTGCATTCTATACGGCCTACGCCGACGTCAAGAACTGCCTGCTGGATCATGCGGATTACATCCTGGGTGCTGCGTGTCAGAGGTTGATCTCGGGACTGGATGAGGAGCTACGTGCTATTGCAGCGGGTGACGCGCTGATCAGTGACCGGCCTTCAAGGTCGATGACGCGAAAAGGGGATGCGGGGAGGCAATTGGTGGTACTGCCACTGATCTCGGCTCAGAGAGCACCGTTCGTGCTGGTGGAGATGATCAGGGTGTTGGGAAGCGAGATCATCCCGATGGTGGAAGACGCGATCGACGAGATCTTGGATGCCATGGATCGGTTTCATCATCACCCGACAATTTGCGACGGACTGCTTGCGGTGCTCGACTCGATCTTGGAGACTATGGCGGTCGAGCAGACGAGCAAGCTGCCAGCTCCGAAGAAGGTTAGGATGATCGATGCTGTTGCGCGGGAGATGAAACGAGATGAAGTGGATGTCTTCAAGTCGTGGCTTGAGGCACGTCGCCGCGAAGCGAGGGTGTTCGACGATACGTCGACATCCGAGCAGCGGGATGAAGCGGAGGAAGAGAAGAAGGAAGACGAAGAGGACAAGCCGACCAAATCGCAACAGGTCGCGACGCAGATCCTCAACAAAGCCAGCATGTTCTTGACCCACCCTTCGCCTATCCTCCGCACGCGTGTGCTTCGTCTACTCCAACACGGCGTAGAGACCCTCGCTCCTCAGGACAGGACATCCGAACTGCTACCGATCATCAACGGCGCTTGGCCCTTCGTCATGACCCGCCTGGGTGCATCCTACTCCAACTCCAAAAGCTCAACTTCAACCCGACTGGAACCGATCATCGATCTGACTCCATCCAGCAAGGGCGCAAAGGCGAGGGAGAGGGACGAACAGTGGTACAGAAGGTGCGAGGAAGCGTTGGTGGAGAGGGATGCAGGGGTGTGGGTGGCAGCAGCGAGGTTTGTGGAGGCGGCGGTGAAGGGGGTCCCTGACTTTGTGGGCAAGAGGGTGGTGGAGGAGGCGTGGCCTAGGTTTGAGGTGTTGTTGAGCTTGATACGGTGGAAGTTCGGAAGGGCGGGGAGGGAAGCGGACCCGACGCATGATTCGAGACGAGTGACAAGTTTGATGGCCGGAGATCAGCGACAAGCTCTGCTCGAATCAGAACGGCACACCGGCTCCTCGGCACCGATCCAATCACTCCTTCAATCCTCATCGTCACCCCATGCATCCTTACCCACATCGACCACACACTCGCACATCGACCAACCCTTCATTCTTCCCTCCACCTCCAGCCTCCCCGCTCAACTCACACTCTGTATCATCACCACGCTCACCAGCGTTGTCCGACACCTCAACGCGCGCATGCCAGACGACGCAGCGTGGTCCATCACCACCCACCCTTACCTTTTGGGGCTGCTGGACGCACGTCAACCACCCACCATCCTACGCGCCGCAGAGGACATGTATATCGAGCTGGGCAAACGGAATCCACATGCGACGAGTTGGGCGGTCAAAGCTGCCTTTCCCACCGCTACTACGGTCGACGTGGAGACGCCGTGTTACATGCATCATGCGAGGGCCAAGGTGCACAGGGAGACGGTGCATCATTTGTTGGATTGCTTTGCGGAGTTCTGATACATGGAGGATGCGGTGCGGATGGCGGGGCGGACCTCGTAAACTAGCGATCTAAAGATTCAAAGAGAGACTACTGCGTGTCAAGTGCTGGTAGAATGCTTTTTGTGTTTGATGCGTACCTCGGAGGAGAGAACGCGTAGCGACAAGGATGTTCCAACTTTGTCAAAAGTGGCTCAGAGGACGTCCATGGTGGTCCTATCAGCTGCGAGGGGAAGGTCATTCTTGAAATGATGCTCCATCTCAGCTTTTCCCACTTCGTCTCCACTTCTCTCAACCAACGGCTGTATGTCGCCGACCGGCGTAGTCGGGAACCTCTTTCGCGACTCAGTTCCAGCCGCTGTGTGCTGCTGAGCCTGGTCCAATTCGTGGGTGGCGATGCAGCTCGGCTTTCGCACATCGTCCTCCATAGCTACGAGGTAGTCCTCCTCTGTGCAAACGCAGATGGATGGCGCCGTGGTGATGCCTTCGTGCACTGACTCGAGCTTGACTCGATCGAGATCATCAGAAAGCTGCGGAGGGGTGACGGGAATGTTAGTCGAGATAGAGTCGTTCGGCACCAAGTGGTATGAATGGTGATCGGCTTGTTCCGCGTTGCGTGCCTGATCATCATAGCAGAGCGCTGGCCTCTCTTTGATGTGTGTCACTGAGCAACACTGCTCGTAGCAGGATCGGACCGCTTCGGGATAGGTGATCAACATCAATACGAGCCGGGCATATTCAAGCATGGCCCAGCTCAGGGCAAACATTATGGCAATAGCTACGAGCAGGTTGGAAGGTCGAGGACTGGCGCTGCCACATTTGAGGTCCAGCGAGTCGATGATGAGGGTGGCTTCAAGGTCGCCCTGACCAATCGCGTGAGATGCTGCGAAAGGGAGGGCAAGGATACAAAGGGCGACGAGGCACCAAGAGTAGGCTAAGCTGGCTGAGCTGGCTGAGCTGGCTGAGCTGGCTGACACCGCCGTCATCTTAGCAGATGCTCAGCGAGACGACGAGAATGGCAGAGTTCAAGATTGCGTCAGTGAACGAGGCCGATTTTGAGCAGGAAGTCAATGGAGTCTCAAGAATAGGTACAGTTGCCCGGTCTGGACGGTGGAGGACGGTCGGTTCAGAAGCACAGTGGAGGGGCTGGACTCAAAAGTCACAGAAGAGTGTGGTGGCAGTTCCCTCAAAATTCCAGTAAGTGCGAGACGAACGGTGAGCGCAGCCCACGCGAAATCCCAGGGTGGAATTTTCAATCATACTGAATTGGGAGCTGGGTCGGAAATCGAGAGAATTTGACTCAGCCTCTCAGCAATGTGAATTGCCCGCAGATGGCTTTCACAAAGCGGCTCAGCATGGCTGCCGTTCAGGATGAGGTTGGTTCAGCGTCCGCTCTGAACGCATTTCAGTTGAGAACGAGGCTCGCCCTGGCATAAAAACACAAAGTTCGGTTCGGCTAGTGTCGACATCGCTCGGTTGACGGAGACGCAGCATTGCCAATGCAACCCTAAGCTCGCCAAGCCGCGAGCTGCAGGTACGAGAACGTTCGGATCTAGAATCTAGAATCTAGAATCTTGGTCACGGCTTGTGCTGGAGGCTAGGGCGGTAACGCCTGCAGGCGTCCGGGTCAATTTAGAAGCTTGTAGTCCCGGCGAGCACGAGCTAGGTGAGCATCTTGCATCCGTTCCAGCCACGCCGCAAGCGAACGCAACAATGCACGTCGCCTGCCGCTTGGGATGTCTTTCGCAAGCGTGTGTCTCTGTACGATGCATCACCGTCAAAAACTTCGGTTTGCCGTCCTTCCCGGTGTGATTCTTTCGGCACAGGGAACGGCGCGCATGACGTCTTGCCGAAGATGGACAACGGATGCTTCACGACCGAAGCTGCTTAAAAAAGCCGTTCCGACGGATGCACGATCTCGATTTAAGACTCAGCCTATTTCGAAACCTCAATTTGCCGTAACGAGCCCCGTCCATCTGCGCGATTCAATCAGCTGCCTGCCACCCTGTCGCCGTTGAGGCTGTACTCGGGTCGAAACTTCCCCGCTGCACAGAACTTCGCCGCAATAGAAGCACCAAGAGTACTGTTACCATGCTCGGTCCTGCTCGGTCGGGTTCCTGATCGCAACTTCAGGCTCCGCAACCTCCGGCCGAAGGCCATTTAAATTTATCCGAATCATTGCCGCTGCGTGACAGACAACGTGTATCGACGAACAGCTCTTTGCTTGGCAGTGAGGACACCTTTGGAGCATCAGGCGCAAAGTACTTTCTCAGCGACCGACTCTTTCGCTGTCGTGCAAAGCGCCAATGGTGCACATCGATCCGGAACTCGAAAAAAAAAGTAAACAGAATAAGAAAAATCGCTAAGTGAGACAAAGTGACATGCTCGCCCTGTCTGTTTCCGCGCGCGTGTCTCTCCAACAACGGAAGCGGTCGCTTTAGCGCATCTGTCCGACATCTTCCGGGCAAGATGCCTTCGGACTACACTCGCCGGTCCGTCGGAAAAGCGACCATACATCGTCGGGTAGACTAGCATAGCTTTGCATGGCGCGCTGCAGTCCGCAAATGTCCCATCACTCAGGTCGAGAGACGGAACCAGACGGAAAATCGGCCGGGAAAAAAGCTGCCGCTGCGCTCGTCTGTCATGAACAAACCATCTACTTTCCGACAGTTCCCACGCCGATTTCCAGTAGCGCAAGATACCGTCAAGTAGCCGAGCTCTCTCGACTCTGATCTAGAAACCAATCCAAGCCGTTCGTGTCGGCCGTCGTTGAGAGCGACTCCACGCAGTTCTTTAAGCTGCAAGGTGCTTTCCATGGTCTCCATTCCACTTGCCCTCATGCGCCTTGTCTCTACGACGTCGAACAGGGAGCAGATGATGGATTCGATCCGTTCATATCATGTCAGTCTAGGCACGCGCTGGTCCGCACCGGAATGCGGCGATTATTTACGACGCTTCGATGAAGCAGACGGCGTCGCTCGAATCTTTTCGGATTCAAAACCAAAGCCCGCCTGCAAAAACTCCGTCCAACATCGCCTCGTCGTCAAGATTCATGCAAATCCTGTACGATCCTTTTCGGCGATCGAGCTGTGTCTCCGCGGATCGTGAACCTCATGGCACGACGAGAGACATCCTCTTGCAGTTCTGAGCCGGAGATGTCCACTTGGCATCTGACGTACCACCCTTGCTGATCTGTTTACCTGTCATTCACGCCCCTTCTTGTTCTAGCGCGCATCGAACCGTTCGGCTGGCGCGAACCGAGAATGTGGCAAACCAGGGCGCAGGCTTCTCTGCTTCTCCGGCTTGTCTTCGGTCTTCTCCATGCGGTGAGTCTATCGACGGAGAACTCTCCCTTCCCCCCGTGTTCCATCCAGTTGGTGTGTGTATGCGTCCACCACCGGATGCTGAGACTCAAACCCGCAGATCTCTTCCCATCCGCCTTCGACTTCGTCCACGAGTGTCCTTCGCGTACAACATCGTGCACGGCTTTCACGAGTCAAACTCTCTCTCTCGAAGCATTGGACTGCAGACTTCGGCAGGACAGAAGTGGATGCCCTCGAAACATTGACGCTCACAGCATTCTGCACCGTGTTCGTCTGCCTCTCGGCTGAATCACCTCACACCGGTAAAACTTCTTCATCACGCCGGCACAAGCTCACTTTATTATACTTCCCGCCGTTGATAGTCCTGCCATCCCTGCTTGCGCTCCTCGTCCTGCTAGTTTTTGTGCCGTCGCCTCCTTCCTTGCCTCCCCAATTCATCTCTGAGGATTCCCGCCCTCCCGAAACTGGTCCACGCGACTTGTCTGCAAGCGGAACATTCAGTTCATGCCCGGCACAGTTGCTCATCACACGGCATCTTCTTCCACACGGACCACTCTCAGATTCAGTCTTAGCACTGTCATCTGGCCGGTCCTTCTCCTGCCAGGAGCCAGTTTGCTTCCTTCATCAACCATCCACATCGCCATGCAGCTCCAACCTCCTTTCTCCAGCGCCCACCACCTCGCTTCTCAGACACCACTGCAGCCGCTTCTTCCTCTCCTCGACCCACGTCCTCGCACCGTTTGCGCTATATCGCTCTTCTCTTCTCGCTGACAACCGATTCCTGCGCCCCTCGCCCACTCATCAGACGCGCCGTATCGTTCTGCAGTTGTGCACCACCAGTCGGCGAGTCAGCAACCCTTCCGCAATACTTACGCCCCGCCATCGTACTGGTGTAGACGACTCACAACGCTTGCAGTCACTTCAGCATCTTTTCGCAGTCCACTGAGTTGTATTTGTACGCTGCCGAGCCGACATCTTCACGTCCCAGACATCCTATCATTCTTTACATTCGCTGCTTTGACGACCTCGCTCAACAGCACAGCTTCCTATCTCGGAGCGCGATTTGACGCTGCAAAGACTCACTCCACCCAGGGCCTCGGAGCGGCTGCCGCGGCATCTGCGATCGTCGATATCACCTGACGTTTCTCCCTCTGCCACTCGGTGGGTGGGATCGCCTATGTCCATCATTGTTCGTCCTCCTCAAGTCGGGATGGAGGTAGCGTCGAGCACGACATGACGGACAGTAGAGTGGGAGAAGTACTGGCACTCATGACGTCTACTAAAGCACATGCAGACCCATCACCTCATCGGAACAAAAGGCCCGCTTCTCATTCGACCCTACCCATCGACAAAACGTGGCGAAAAGTGCTTTGTTTGCTGCGCCCACCATTGCGGCAGGTGCAACATGTGAAAGTGCAGCCCTCCGCCACAACGTGGTGCTGGCCGATCTTGGTCGACGGCAAACGTCTGCACCGTCTCGACATTCTCGAGTCGGGTGCACGTCAGAGATCCGAGCGAGACTCACGATCGACGCCCACACCACCTTCATCTCGACCAGCAGGGTCGACGCGTGAAGCCCACTCGAACAGCCACTTTGCTGTCCCGACAGTCCGGCAGCCAAACACAGCACACGACGGATCAGCTATTCCTACCGCACAACTGGAGAGCAGAGCGATAGAGCACAGGTGAGTCTCGAAAAGCTCTGGTGTCGTTCGACTTGGCGTCGCCCTTGGTGGAAGACGTGGCATTCATTTTCGGGAGGTTGTTCCCGCTCTGTCGGATCTCACTCGAATCTTGCTCGGTTGCCTGATAAAAAGGAAGCAACGCAGGACAGCTATCGCAGTCATGGACTGGAAAGGCGCCCTGGGAGTCGACGCTACGAGTGTTGCACCAGCGTAGCAATGCCATTGGAGATAGAGCGAAGAACTCTTCTCAAGCTTGCACTGTCTCGGTGCTATTTGAAGCGACTGGAGAGATGCACCCCCCTTCCTCCCCTCCAGTGGCCCACCCCTCTCTATATGCTCCCAAACCCCGCGTCCGCTGCCTCAAAGAACCTCTCAGATCGTTTGCATCCCTCTGACACCTAAGACATTCCACTCCTCTCACCCGTCCTTCCAAAATGGTGCCTACCAGCTCACAGCCCACATTCAAGCTCATTCTGACCCAGGAACCGACCACAGGCGCAGCTTTCGAAGAAAACCTTCTCGGACGGATCGGACTCGCACCGCCTCTCATCCTCGAGCTCGAGATGACCAAAGATGGTCAGGTGCAAGATGCCTCTGCCGAGCTGCCTTTTCTCATCTGTCAATGCACGCTGCTGCGAGAAGACGGTTCTGGTGCCGACATGTTGGATCGACAAACAGCAACAACAACGCCGGCCACGGGATCGACGTTGATGCCGCCGCCAACGCCTTCGCGACGTAGAGGTCGTCGTTCGAGCGGCAACCGACGCGCTGGCTCTCCTAGATTGTCCGGTAGCGCTGAAGCTATACCTGGTTCCTCCACCACGTCTACATCCGGGTCGGCTTCACCGACGTTGCTGAGGATGCTTTACGGTACCATCGTCGCAGGTCCCCAATCTTTTCAACCGCTTCGCGGGGGGCAAGGTGAAAAACCATACTTATTCTTCCCCGAAATCAGCATTCGTACGCCTGGAAGGTTCAAGATTCAATGCAGGCTGATGCGTCTCGCCCTGTAAGTCTTTCACCCTCTCTCTCTCGAGAGTGAATTTCACGAAGATGATTTGATCCATAGTACTGACTTGCTTGCCATACCTTGTTCACGTCACAGGCCCGGGATGAATCCTTCTCAAACAGGCGTCCTAGCATCGGTAGAGACAAACCCCTTCCAAGTGGTCCAAAGAACCGACTACTCGGCTCCTTACATAACGGACATTTCGCGTCACTTTGCACGTCAAGGCGTATCGCTGTTGCTTCCGCCGGGCGTGTCCGCTGATTGACACCCCGTCCAGGTTGCATCTGACGGCTTTCTTGTCATCCGTCTCATCTGAATACAAACTGAAAGAGATTCACATCATGATGACTTTCCCCTTGAGCCCTTTCGACAGTGTGCAAAGCTGAAATGAGTCGGCGCCAAAGCAAAGCTAGACCAGTCATTGCGACGGCAAAGCATTGGTTCGGATACAGCAGATGTTCTTCTCGTACGCAAAACATGAGTCCAGCACCGATGGAAACCCAAAAAAGAAAAATCGTGCAGATGAAACCAACCCATAAAAAGCGATGCTTGGTGACTGGGACCAGCCAAACCAATTCACAAAAGACACGTCTTTTTGCTTGAAAATCGCAAGCCTCTGAACTTTCGGAATGAGCCTCGCCCACTTTCTTTCTGTGGACCGGATCGACACACCTCAGTCTACTGAAGCAGTGGCTGCTTCGACCACAAACGTGGGTCAATGGATGTCGATAATGCTCGAGATTGCATATTGGAAGAATGCTTTTGGTGGACCTGCAGAGTGGTCCTGAGAAACCGGTTCTTGAGTCGTGTGCTTGGGTCTTTTGGACCCTACGAGAGACAATTAGTTTTGTTGAGGATCGGAACATGATAACTGGACTGCCGCTTCATTCCACATTGTTCATATCGTCGGTGGAGGCGGTCAAAGAGTCTGGTTGCTCCTGCCTCTTGCGAATGTCGTTCCTCACGGGCACCTGGATGCCTTGGCGAGCGAGGCACTTGGCGAGCTCGGTCGACTCAGTCATTCCAGGGAAACGTCGTGGACTGTAGATCGTGAACGGCTCGGTGAGCGCTTCGGCGAGAATGTGGCCGCTAGCAGACGCAGGTCCCATGCTCGGTGGTCCGAGGGCCAACAGCTTGAATGCGAGGCGGAACGGCCCTTCCTGACGAATGCTGAGATCGGTGAAGACGAAGAAGCAGGCTCTGGAACCATCAAGATCACGAGCGACGTTGGCGCTGGCGACCAAGCGGCCTTCGAGCATGCGTGTCCACGGATACGATGGATCGTTGGTCTCTACGAGTACTGCTTCCGTATGCGTACCAGTCACGGGGTCCTCCTTGTAAAGAGAAACTTGCAGGACGAGGTTGGAGCTATTTTCGGCTCTGTGAACGATGGAGCGTTGTTGTGTCATCGTCTTTGTCAGCGTGCCAAGATCACATGTGCATCTAGCGGTATCGGAAATCAACTCACTCTTCGTCTTCAGTGCCGTCTGGGCTTATGATGCGTAGCTGCAGGATAGGCAAAGGGTCCAAAGGCCGTTTGTCTTTGCTTCCGAGACCGCAGAGCCGCCCCTGTTGCGGCTGCTGGCGGATGATCAGTTTATATTGCCTGCGATGAGACGGAGAAAAATGACGGTCACGGAGCGCAAATGATCAGTTTACGGACAGATCAGCGTCAGTGTGATGGCGGTCAAGCGTGACTTACCAGTGACGACTTGAGTGTTGCGGCAGTTCCGAAAGCTTAGGCGGAGGCGCCAACGGTGCTGTGCGCAGATTGTGTAGCTGCTCTCTTTCGTTGTCGGAAGTGAAGATGGGAGGAGCAGCTCGTTTGGAATGATGATGGCGAGGTCCCAATGCGGGAATGGATTGATAAGCCGGAGCAGGAGCAAGACTGCGGTACGAATGCTCAGAGTATGGTGAGTAAGGAGAATCTGAAGAGCCACTCAGACGATCCATGCTCTGCATGCTCGTAGAAGCAAGTCTGGTGGATTGCCTCGAGCCCGGAGGTAGCGAAGGCGCTGGAGGCTGCGACGATTCGCCTCGCAATTGATACTGTAGGCCTCCACCACTTTTCGGGGCAGGAAGGATTGGCGGGCGCATGCTGTGACCATCAGTGCTGGTGTCATGGTGTTGTCGGCTGGACACGCGAGATCCTGTGGGCTCCGATGTGTCGGTGGCCTTTCTGAATTCAGACGATGACGGCCTGTCGAGAGCAGACTGCTGTTGATCGTTTTCGTGAGGGGGTCGATTCGAAGCAGAATGCTCCGCGCTAAGGCGATCTTCTAGGCCGCTCATCGTCTCGAGACGACCTGACGTTGTGCTCGAAGTGGTTGTGAATAGTCGAGAACTGCGGCCCGATGCATCAGTCGGATTGGGTATCGACATGTCGCTCAGCTTGTCGCGTCGCGACAGGTGAATGCTAAGCTGACAACGAAAACCCGAAGCCGTACTGGAGCAAGCAGACGACGAGTGCCTGTACGTGAGATCTCAGGAAGATATCGTTGAGGGCAGGACTGTGGCGAACATGACGGTGAAATGGAGCGCTGAGAGGCGCAGCACACGTGATGACAGTGGATGATCTGGAGGGGCGGGCGTGATCTTAGAGAGATCTGTTTCGCAGGCCAGATCGAGGCGGATAAGCTGCGTCCAGGCAAGGCTGAGTGCTGACTTCAAGGTCGAAATGAAGAGATCGGAACGGAAGTTTTTTTGACGCAACTGCTGCTCGCAGAAAATGTTGATGCCGCTACTCCGGCTGCTGCAGCGGCTGCTGCAGTTGCTGCTGGTGGTAGTGGTGGTGGTGCTGCTGCTGCTGCCGCTATTGCTGGTGATGTTCTTATTGTTGTGGTTGTGATAGTCGTTAACACTGCTGCTGTCGGTCAGTGTTCCGTGCCTTCAAGGCGAAAAGGCTTTCAAATACTGGCGACTCGAGATGGCAGAGACTGCACGAGCAGGGATGTTGGGACGGAGGAAAGATGGCGACGGGGAGCAAGATGGTTGAGCTTCAGCGAGGCGAAATGGAAGTAGGAGCGAAAGGTTGCGAAGAGGAGCGAAGCAAAAGACGGAGCGGTGCGACAATGTGGAAGAACTCGTCCAAGACATGGAATCATGCAGCTACGCGAGGTTGGCCGTCCCATCAACACCAAAGTGCCCAGATTATGCAGCAGAGACCGGGTCGGAGATCGTCGCAGCAGGTCCAGAACATGGTTCGCGCGGCGAGGTGCCAGTTTTGCTGAGAAAGGTGATCATGGTGGAGGTGAAGTGACGCATTTGCTGCGCCTCTTGCGCCAAGGCCATTGATCGTCTTAGTCATTTGCCGTGTCTCCGCCATGGATCGGCTCTAGGCGGAGAATGCACGTTTGGCCGAGGGGCCGAAATTCGGATAGAAGAGCTGCTCCCCCCTTGGCTCGAAACCTTCTCAACGCATTCACCCAATTGGAAGAGAGCGTCATGCCTCGCGGGCAGCTGCGCATGCGATGCACCCCCCGGATCTCTGTCAGCAAGCCCCTTGCCACGAGATCACCTTCTACTGCAGCACGAAGGCCGTGGAGGACGGCATCGACTGTCTCGCGCACTTCCTGGGTGTTTAATTTTTTTTTCTTTTCGGAAAGAAGCACCGTCGACGACTGGTGCTGACTACTTGACGCGTCGTCAAAAGCTCCCAATCGATGTGGCTTGAGTAGAGTTTCACGCCGTGACTACTGATGAATTACTGTCAGAGCTAGCCGAGCCAGGCCTCCAGCCTCCGACTAGGTCCGAATTTTGAGTCAGAGTTCATCTGATGTCGTCTGCGTCTCCACTCAAGAACGAAGTAAGCCAGGATGGCGGACAGGCCTCGGAACAATGCAACGGCACAAGGAAAGCAAGGATGGCGACGCGAAATTGTCATACTCACCAAGTAGGAGATTCGCATTCGTGGACTAACGTCCCTCGTGAACGAGCGCTCGATGGTGTGACTGAGAAAGACCGGACATTGAACGAGGATCTGTCTTAGCTTCCGATCGGGCAACGTCGGCGCACCGAGGAATTTAGCGCGAGGACAAGCGGAACGTTCGAGAAGCTCCGCCGTCTACAATCATGGAAGAGGGTCGAAGGGAAACGGGAAAACTTGAGGCACCGCGAGATGATGCAGGTATCTGAAGATCAGAGGGAGAATCTGGAGTGGCTGGAGATGTAGATGCCCTTTTGATCTGATCCGACGTTCCAGGAGAGAATCAAACCCTGAATTAAGGTTTCAACAGCCGGATCCTCCGCGGCAGGACACGACTTACAGGCAGCACGTGTAAAACAAGAGTGGCAGCCCGGGCAAACGTCAGAGCCGCGGGCCCTCGTGCGGCTGAAAAAAAAACACCTTGGTGCGGCTGCGAGCCCCTGGAGGATCTAGTCACACAAGGGCAAGGGCAAGACTCGCCGGTGACCTTGAGATGCGTAGCAGCGCCAAACGACGCTTGTCGCTGAGCAGTAAGAAGCGGGGACCGAGGAGCGGATGTCGAGCAGACTCGGTGTTGGCGCGGTCCTGTCCCGGAGATGGACGGGGATGTATCGTGCAGCGTGCCGCACAAAATTGCAGCAGAAAAGAAACTTTTCTTCTTGCCTTAGCAATGCACCAAAGATTGACGCCGATATTGCTTTTTACAACAATCGATCGTCACGGTTGGGGAAAATGTTCCGGCCCAAGACGACAGCATACGACTACGAAGAGGGACCATACATCAGTCGGCGGATGCGATGGAGACGAAAGCAGCGGGAAGGGCCAATGTGGAGGAAGAGCTGCAAAGTGTTGTAGGCAAGCGAGCGCAGCTCAACGCGGAACGAGAAGTTTCACCGCAGCCAACGATCAAGGTGGGGGAGGGCACATTGAAGGGTAGTCCACAGCATGTTGCTATTAATAAGAAAAGTCTAGGTTAAACACCATTCAAGGTCGTTTGCCCAGCGGAGATCCCGAACAAGTTCAGTTCGCCACTGCCAAAGACTTTTGCGCCCACCCGACAATGTTGTTGACGCATGTCCGCGTTGCAGTCAAAATGTCTCGAATCGAGCTGGACCAAGGCACATCAGCCACCATCTTCTGCGCGCGTCGGGTTTCACCCATCGCGAGGCTGTGAGGACAAGGTGAACAAACAAGGTTGTGACGACTCAATTAGCATCATGAAACCGACAACTTCTTCATGGCCTTGCAGACCGATTGATGAGGCCCTTGAAAGCCCACATGCGAAACTTTCGATGCCCACTCGACTCTAATTGAATGTGACTGTCCCAAGAACGGTAGCAATGCCATGGAGCCCAGTTGTTGGTATATAACTGATCAGCGCTTGACCCGATACGGTCACCTGTGATGGACTCTTGGGTACAGGACGTAAAGGAAGAAAGACTCGCCGGGCGTTGGCATGTAACTATCACGGGTTCAATTTCAAATTAACCGCATGGCGAGCAAGCCTGTCGAGACAGACATGTCACTAACTTTATTCAAACAAGTGAGAAACGGTCGGCCGATGCATCTTCCAGTTCCACCCATTCGGGAGCACGCTAGCACGCTGGATCAATAATGCTGAGAAGGAAAGAAGAAAAACAATCACCAACACAGTTTGACTTTATGGAATAATGCGACTTAAGGTTGGCCTAGCAATTGCGCGCAGGCCGAGATGCCCGATAGCCACAGCCTTATGTTCCGGGGCTGCATTGTCGACCCCAGCACGAGCATCGCGACCACTGTTCGTCATCGACCGGGATGTCCAAGCTTTCCTCTCGCTCCTCACTGCCCATCTGGACATCTCAAGAGGGTTATCTGCAGCTCGAAATCAAGCGTATAAGAGGCAACTACGATACCGTACCGAAGAACCACGTCGATTCACCGTTTGCTTTTTACCACCACAAAAAATGGCTTGGAAGCAAGCGGTCGCGTCGGCCTCGCTTGGAGCTGCCGAGGTGCCAAAACAGATTGGAAAGTTCACATGAATATCGAGCAGCGGCACGCTCCGCTCGGCCAGCCTCTCGGGTTTTCGTCTTTCCCGCGCCCCGAAAGAACAATCACGATATCGCGTCATTCGCGCGTTCGGGTAATGCAGCCATTGTTCTCCATCGCTCCAAGACGAGGTCAACATGCCGCGTTCCGTCTTCTGTTCAAGTCTTCCCATCGCTCTGACTCTGCCTGAACAATGACACCACGTCTAGCACGACCGAGATAAAGCCTACCCCCAGAAACGGAAGCTTTGGCGACTTGCTCCAAGGTTTGTGCGCTTCAAACCGCGACTCGACATCGGTTTTGCCGAGTCTCGGGTAGACAGCCGCTAAGTACGCTCACTGCATGAGGATTGGCGGAGACCCATTTTCCGTTTTCAAAGGACCGAGGCGGCTATGCTATTTTTGTCAAGAATCTTCGCTTCTGCGTCGGAGGCTAAAAACGACCACATGCCACCGCCACGACACTTTCCGCGGCAGGGCGTGCACCGCTGCGTTTCCCAAACGACCCGCGGATCTTTCTCTGCAGTCCAAGCAAATCGGGTGCGAATTCACCGCGTCGGGCCGGAATCCGGGCGCTTATTATACATCCCCAACAAAAGATCTTCTCATCGACTTTGCTCGCCTAATCACGGTCCGCTCCCACCACAAACACGATTCCGCGTCCAACTCGTTTTGATTACGTAAATGCAGGCGAGAGCTCAGGGTGAATCGAGACCACGGTCGCTGATGGGACTCGGCGCACGACTAGAAGAAGCTGGCGAATTGCCGGTGCTCGACCACCCCGTCGCGGGCTCGACCAGGCTATCGTCGGCACCGCTACGCATGTTGAGCGACCAGTCCGGAGTGTCGTCGCTCAACGAATCGCTCGAGTAGTCTCCCGTAGCAGTCGACGGTCCAGCCTCCGGTGCTGCATCGTCTGCAGCTGGCTCTTGACCTGCACCGGTAGCGCGGGTCTTGGCGGCTTCCTGGAACTTTTGCCTGGATTTGCCTCCGATCGGTCGTGTTGTGCGGCGACGATAGAAGAGCAGGTATGCGGACGAGCTCTTGACCGCCTCGGAATTGGCCACGGGCCTAACGCTCGAATCGTCAAACTCGTACCACTTGCCGTCGGCGGGGCTCTTTGCGAAAGCGGTGTAGTGTCCTCCTCCGAGTCCGCCGAAGTGGTTGTCAACCGCGTACAGATCGTAGATGGGACGATCCACGGCGACGGCGTCGTCGTTGTCCTCCAACGGCCTCAGGATGCCCGACCCGAGCATGCTCTCCGACAGCTCCTCTCCGCTCTCCTTGGCTTCCTCCTGCACCCTCCGAAGCGCCTGAGTGCCCTCCACCCGATCCGTAAGATCAAGCCCTTCCAAGGGGAAATCCACCAACATGTTGAGCTTGTCGCGCGAATGCCTTCCGGCACTGAAGCGCTTGAGATGCACCACCAGAATGTCGGGCGCCTTCCACAGGTCGAATTTCTTGGTGGCCTGACGGAACTCTTTGCATGGGGGACAGTACCACGGATCGTCCTCGCCTAGCTGCTCTTCGCGCGTAAATTCGTCCATGCAGTCTTCGATCGACAGCGTCTTGGGTCGAGCCGGTCCGGCGTTCTCGCGCTGACGGATTGCCTCGTCCACCGTCTCTTCGTAGTCGCCCCACAGCTGGGCCGAGTCGGAATCGACAAGCAGGCCACGCGCCTTGACGGAATGCGACCATGTGCACACGATGGCGCCGCCGGTGTATACGAGCGGGACAGCCTTGTCAGTGGACGTGGTTTTCGACTCATCCTCTGCCTCCAGCTCGTCAGCCTCGACCTTCATCGGTTCTTCTCCGCCCAACGACGAGGCAGCCGATGCGCTGCGCTTTGCGAGACGAGCATGGCGTTCTTCGAGATCTTCGGAGAGGTTGTCTGCGTTGCTTTCGCTTCCCTTTGGCAAGCCTTGACCGAGTTCGGCAATACTGAAGCGGATGCGCAAAGCCGGACTGCTCGGCGTCGGAGCTTTGAATTCGTTCAATGGAGCGACGGACGGAGAAGAAACATCGGCATCGACTGTGCTGACATCAGGCACCACTACCGCTTCGCCATCCTCCCGAATTTCGGTGACAAGATCGCTGTCCGCCATTTGGCTTGGTGCGACGACCTGAATTGCGTCGTCATTGCCAGCCGCCGAGTCGTCCACCATCTCCCAATCCGAAATCTGCGATGTAGATGGCGGCAGAGCTGAAGGAGCAGCGGCCGTTCGATCGTGCTCGACAGCTTGACGCAGTTCCTCTGGCACGCCTGCAAAGCGTGAGAAACCTTGCAACACATGCTCGCGAATGGCGTCGGCATCGTTGACGTCGGCCTTGGGCACGGAAATGAAGAAGGGAATGCCGATGGCCTCTGACCGTGCTCGACGACTGACAAACGCTTGGCTCGACGACGGGCCCGAGGTGTCGCTGGCGACGTTTGTAAAGACGGGCAGAACTGCGTACTCCTGCTCCGGAATATCGAGCGCATCCTCAGCGTCCTCGACCGATCGATGATATCGGAACTGCCGCTGCTTGGACAAGCGAGGTGGTGCAGCCACCTCCCAAAAGTAGACAAAGTCGCCGTCCTTGATGTCGACTAGGGGTTCGTAGTCGTCGAACCACTTGTAGACGCGATGGTGCCACACCTCTCCACATACGAGACGCTTGGTCTCGATGCCGAACTGAGCTGCTACCTTTTGTCGCAGCTTGCCGACCGTGGTACCTGCTGGCAGCTGCACCTGGAATTTGTGCATGGGCTGACTCGCATCGAGCGGAACAAAGTAGATCTGTCCTTTCCACATCTTTTTGTTGGGGATGGGGAGCGTCAAGTACATGAACGGATCAAACTTGATCGAGACCTTGCTGCACTCGGGGCATACCAGTGTGCTGCGGTACTGTCCTTGGAAGAGGTCGACGATGACCGAATCGTTTCGCGCCTTGTAGATGTCCCACTGGCGTTTGGCAAATGCGACCAGGTCCTTCTCGTCGCCTCCTTCCCAATCTGGTGCCTCGATGTACGGCTTTTTCAGGATGCGGTTGAGGTCCTCGTGCAAGCCGTCCAGGAGGAAAGCAAGCAACTCCTGACTATCGTGCTGCGCATAACCGCTGAACTGCGGTGCGAAGCGAGAGAGGGCAAACTTGAATTCACGTGGCCAAAAGGAGCCACCTTGCCCGTTCCAGATGTTGGTGATGAGATTGCCAAATGCATCCGCGATGGCGCCTCCCATGCCCAACGGATTGTCCGTGTTGAGCTCCTCCTTGTACGCGCCCGAGACAAAGTACTGCTGCAGCTCGTACGTGTTGCTGAGGCATTGCAGCGCGCTGTTCATGAAGCAGGTGTTGCCGAGATTGTTGAGGCCGCGCAATCCGCGTGACCTGCCCATGGTACGATCGACGGCAGTCTGCGACCTGGTGACCCGCCCTTGCGCTTCAGCGGCGGTGCCTGACGCTGCGCTGGCACCGGCCGTGGCATTGTTCTGCTGAAGGTTGCTGAAAAAGTCTCCTTGTTGTGCGAATATCCCTTTCACCGACGAGGAGGCAGCGTTGTCTGTAGGTGCAGGATCCGTTTGCCAGCGTCCTGATTGGCGCGTTTCTACGACGAGATTGATCTCGATCTCTTCGATCCCGACTGACTTCAGTGTTGTATTGGGTTGATAACTGTCGGGCTTGTCTTCGCCAGCGTCAACAATGTCGACACCCTCTTCCGTTACTCGAGCCGAGCTAACGAGGCCGTTCTGTAGCTCCTGATCCGTCGGTTCAGGCAAAAAGTACAATCTGATGTCGACGTCGGCAATGGAGCCGAGATTTAGCGCTGACTTTGCCTTCGCCTTGAGCTCGGCCACGCTTGCACTAACCGACAAGCTGAAGGATGCCACACCAGAACCCTGTACGCTGACGTCGTGAACGAGCTTCAGAAGACGGATGACGGGCGGATAGAACTCGACACTTTCCTGACCCGCATTGAGGCCGTCAATCACGTTGCGAGCAAAGACCGGACCGCTGCTACCGTACCACTGGACGAGGAGGGACCAGCCTTCTTCGGGCAGCATCTCGTAGTCGATGTGCTCGTTGATGCCTGGCCTGAGGCGGGGCAGTGCAGGAGTCGAATCTGGATCGAGCAAGTCCGAGTTGTCGATGGTGCCGATGGGTACATCTACCTTCTCGGCAGGATCCGAATCTCGACGCTCAGAGCAAGCTGCGTCCCAGCGACGGTACCACTTGCGACTGATCAGATACCAAGTGTCGCCAGCATGTAGGGGGAGGTTCTTCATTGGTCGAATGCGATCGAGCTGCTGTTGTCCCGTCGGTCTTGTCGGCGTGGTGTCGATAGACTGGTGAGTCGAGGCTGGTGCCGGCTCGATCGCTTCCGTATACGACGGTGGCTCGTCGTCCACTATCGCGTCAACCGTCTTAATGATGACAGGCGCGGCTCCCGTTCCATCATCGAGGCTGAGGGATTGTTCGGTCATAAGGCCTTCGATATTCTGGTCGGATCTGGACATGACGTGCGGAGGATGCAGAATGTCAGCCGATGAGATGCTCTGTCGGAGCGGGGTAGGCTGCGTGGAGGTGACTTCGGTGTTGTCGGGTTCGCCAGATTCGCTTGAGGGCTGTGAGAAGGGAGACGACCTGCTTTCGTTCTCGACGTCGCTGCTGTTCTCGTCGATGATGGGGCTGACGGTGCGAGCCCTCTTGTAAGCGGAGGATCGTTTCAGCTCTGCTGCTGCCGTCGCGAGTGATCCGGAGAAGCGAGAGATCGATGCGGGCTCTGGACTCTGCGCAGGGGACGGTGCCGGTCTGCGAGCTGTCACAGGTGCTGCGTGACTATCCTTTGAAGATGAAGACGAAGCACGGTCGGATCGCGCCAAAGCTTCGGCTGAACTAGATGGTGCGGACGTTTGCTGTGAGGAGTTGGATGCGGAATCTCTGGGCGGCGCGTTGTCGAGACTGTGATCGGAACGCATCTGCGAGTCGCTCAGCTCCAGGGCGAAGGTTGCAGCGAGCAGGGCTGTCGATCGAGTCGCCCTCTTCTTGCGCCGGAAAGCCAATCACTTGGCCAGGTAGTGGTGTCGAAATCAAAGGCTTACGACGAGCTGCAGCGAGCGATACCAAAGGCGGGTGATCTGGGGCTGCGAATTCGTGTGTTGACGAGATATATGCGAACGACAATCCTGCTCTCGAGCCTACGATACGAGAAAAGCATGCCGATCAAAACGCTGCTCGTATCTTCCGTGCCAAGTCGGTCTGTGCTGAGTGCAAACACCACCAAAAAAAGAAAAACTCCAAAAAAAACTTCGCGGCACATTTCCGGCTCCACACACCCCGCCAAAACTCGCCTGGCTGCTGTCGTATGCACTCGACAGTGATTGCACCCTTTTCCCGATGCGCCCGATTCAGGAAGCAATCCACTGCCATGCAGCCTTGACCGTTGGTCATCGCGAAGGCTGTCTTACTCTGCTGTGCTGTGAAAGGGTGGTATTGAACGATTACAAATACATGGGAGCAATGCGATATGTGATGAATGCAAAAGCGATCCTGTTGGATAATCGATAGCGGCTCTTCCGACCGACAAGTTTCTAAGCGCTGACCGCGCTACGTCGAGACGCATTCTCGTTGATGAACGCCTCGACCGCAGCTTCGGGATGGTCGGGGAAGCGGATGAAGAGTCCCTGCAGCTCAGCCATGCTGACGCCCCCGCTGGCGGCAGGTGCCGGTCGATGAATACGCTGAGTGGGACTTGGCGCAGTGGCAGTTTCGGCATCTCCGGTCGCGGCCGCTGGAGCAGCCAAACCGACATCTTTCTGTCGGCCATCAGGACCAAGCCCCAGCGCGGTGCGACGTGCGACCGCCTCGGCCTCAACAGTAACTGCAAATCGACTAGCAAGCTCCAGCACTTTTCGATCTGCCTCTTCGACAGCCTTCCGAAGACCAGGCACTGCTTCGAAGCTCTTGTAAGAGTCCACTGTCGATGCCGAATCGGTCAGCCCAGCTGCTGCTGCCAGGAGTGGCTTCGAAGCTTCTACAGCGTTTGGTGCGATGCCGGCGTGCTTGATGTTGAGCTCGCGCATTGTGGTGCGATAGAAGCGCACCATCAGTTCCTCCACCTGCTCCCTTTCGGCATCGCCCAGCTCGGCGATCATGTCGACTCGACCTGGTCGTATCAACGCCGGGTCCAGCTTCTCGATATGGTTGGTGGTCATGAAGATGATCCGGCTTTCTCCGCTTGCTACACCGTCGAGAGCATTCAGCAGACCCGAAAATGTCACCGACGCCTGATACCCATCCTCAGCGGCTTGCTGCCTTCCCAGGAAAGCTGCATCGACATCCTCCAACAGCAGAATTGAGCGATCGGGGGCGTTAGAAAGCAGGTGGTTCAGCTTGTCGTCGGTGAGGCCCCTTTCCGACAGGTTGAGAAGGCAAATGTTGAAATCCAAATGCCCTGCTAGCGCGGTGATGAACGACGACTTTCCGCTGCCCGGTGCTCCGTGCAGAAGGTACCCTCTACGGTATGGAATGCCGCGTTCTGCGTACCATCGATCGCGCGACAAGAAGCGCTGTACGTCATTGACGATAGCCTCCTTCTTGCCCTTGCCTAGCACGACGCTGCCAAGCTCCCTCGTCCTTCTCGGTTGACCGAACGGGCGCCATTCGGGTCCCCAGCTCGTGTAGATCACCGTCTTGCCTTCCGTCGAAGAAAGCGCCAGCTGTCTCGCCTCGTCCAAAAGCTGAGGAAACAGGTGTGCATACGCGAACAGCGTCGTCAGCGTCACCGTCTCCCACGGTGCACCTGTGGACAGGTCGACCATTTTGCCATCCCGCTCGCGCGTCAGGCGCATCCACACGCCGCGATATCTGAACCAATGCGTTCCAGGACCAGGCACCAGCGAGAAACGAGCCTGTCCCCGTTCGGCGGCTTCGGCATTCGGCGTGGACGCCGATGCATGCGCGGTGTAACTGGTCTCGACCGACAGTTCGTGGCTGAGGATGCGGACAGGCGAGACTGAAGAGCCGCTCGAAGCGATGACCAGAGGATTATTCACCTTGTCCTTGCTGGTAGCAGCCGATGATCTTTCCGCGGAACGATCGCGTAGACCGAGAAAGTCGACGAGCCCCTCCTTCTGCTGCTTGCCCAACAAGCCGCGCTGCCTCATGGCCTGCGCTTGTGCTTGGGCACCCATCCAGTGCAGGAACCATGGATGCGCTCGGTCTTTCGATGGGATCTCGAGAGATATCAATAACCTTCTTTGCGCCATAGACGCAGCTACCTTGACGCCTCTTCTGGCCATGGCAATCGCACCGCCGAAAACCATCAACCCTAGCCCTCCTGAGAAGATGGGATTATCGGCAATGAGGCCGGAAAGGAACGAGCTAGGGCCGGAGCTCGTTGTTGCAGACGAGCCAGAGCTTGCTAATGGTTCCGATGGAAATAATCTTGTTTCTTGCGCTGGCTTTGAAGCAGTGACAGCGTCTCCGGGACGATCGTGTTGGTACGATGCAGATGCTGCCCCATCATAGTGGATGGCTGCGGCTCGGGATCGATCGTCCTCGCTCGGAGGTCCGAGCGGATCCTTCCTCTGCATCGTCCTGAAGTTGAACATACCGATCCGGAAGCTGCACACCCTTTCTCCGAAGCTGCGAGGATGTTGCTCGTCGAAATGTCCGGTGGTTGTTCGCAGTCTTCTTCCAAGAAGTATGTCGCAGAAAAAAAGAGCTGGCATGTGAGTGGAGTAAGCTCATTTTTCGGAACACGGCGTCACTTTTTCCGGCTTCCGCCAAAAAGGACAGCGGAGAAATTTCAAGACCCTGCCTGACCTTCGCCACTTTCCCTCTTCCAAACGACTCCAATCCCGCAAAGATCCTTGCACCGTTCAGCCGACCACGGCTGCACTCTGGCAAACATCAGCACAAACATCGAGCAAGCTGATCACAATGGCGCCCAAGCTTTGCGTCATCTGCAACGCCGAGCGAGCGGTCCTTCGTCGGCCCAAGACGGCGCAGCAAATCTGCAAAGAATGCTTCTTCTATGTCTTCGAGACCGAAGTTCACCACACCATCGTCTCTAACAACCTCTTCAAGCGCGGCGACCGTGTTGCTATCGGTGCTTCCGGCGGCAAAGACTCTACCGTCCTAGCGCACTGTATGAAGGTGCTCAACGAGCGATACGACTATGGACTCGACCTGTTCCTTCTCAGCATCGATGAAGGTATCACCGGCTACCGGGACGATTCGCTCGAAACGGTGAAACGCAATCAGCAGCAGTACCAGCTTCCACTCAAGGTGCTTGGATACGACGAGCTGTACGGCTGGACCATGGACGACATCGTCAAGAGCGTGGGGAGAAAGAACAATTGCACGTTCTGCGGCGTGTTCCGGCGTCAGGCGCTGGATCGAGGTGCAGCCGCTTTGGGTGTCGATCACATTGTCACCGGACACAATGCAGACGATGTTGCCGAGACAGTGCTTATGAACGTGCTGCGCGGAGACATTGCTCGACTTGAACGATGCACAGAGATCGTCACGAAAGGCCCTGACGGAACCGAAGATCAAGATCAGGAAGGATGCGGTTCCAGCGGGTCGAACGGCATCGGTGTAGGCGGAAGCGGTATCCGACGCAGCAAGCCGTTCATGTACGCCTACGAAAAGGAGATCGTCATGTACGCCTACTTCAAGAAGCTGGACTACTTTTCGACCGAATGCATCTACTCGCCCAACGCATACCGCGGATACGCAAGGACGTTCCTCAAAGACCTCGAGGCCATCAGACCGTCCTCCATCGTCGATATCATCCAATCCGGCCAAAACCTCAAGATCTCCAACGTGGTCAAGCAAAGTCGGAAGGCGCAGTTGCAGGACTGTATCAGGTGCGGCTACATTTCTTCAAATACGGTGTGCAAGGCGTGTATCTTGCTGGAAGGATTGGAGAAGGGCACGCCGCAGTTGGGGATCGGCAGTGAGAAATCGAAAAAGATCAAGGAGATCAGAAGTGAGAATTCCAAGGACGATGTCGCAAAGGGAACAATTGCGGGGGAGGTGGAGGAGAGGAAGGAGAGGAGAATCCCGCAGTGGACAGGCGTAGCCAGGGACGCTCCACCCATCAGCTCTCTGCCGTTTGTCCCGCCACAGAAGAAGGTGGATCTCAGCTTTTGACCCTCTAGCCTCTTTGCTATTCGTTTGTATTTGTACTGAATATCTTCTCAGTTGTCAACTCATGACGCAAAACCCTCATCCAGCAAACTGCTCGAAACCTTTGTCGTGCGTCTGCATCGAAAATGGCATTGTTCGCAAAACCGTATGCTGGGTGCTGCATCGTCACTCATCGTTGGCCCTCCTCGCCGCATCAGCATTCGCCTCCAGATCCCTCCCCTCGTCCCAAATCCACGTCTTGACCGTCCCATCGTCACCACACGAAGCCAACAGACTCTGGGCTTTGTTCCACACCGCCCCGTACGCCACGTTGTTGTTCGTCGACAGCGACGACGTCAGATCCGACACGACCGACGTCTTTGTCAATCCAATTTTGCTGCTTGGATGCAACGTATCGCGTCCATGACCTTCGAGCGTCTGGAGCACTTCCGACGACTCCTGGTCCCACATGTAGATGAGACCGTCTTCGGAGCCTCCGACGAGCAGCGAGGTGTGGGCGAAGCTGGAACGGATGAAGTTCTTGCTCGTATTCTGATGACCCTTGAACCTTTTGAGTGGACGCAGCATGCGAAGGTCCCAGAGACGGTTTGAGTTGTCCTTGGAGGAGCTGAGCAGCAGGGTACCCGAGTCGTTGATCTCGACCGATGTGACTTCACCCAGGTGACCGGTGACCGTTCGAATGCAGAGACCAGAGACGACATCCCAGAACCGAATCGTCGTGTCCTTGGATGCCGTCACGATGAGGTTTCCGAGCGGGTTGAAGATGGCGCTCGAAACACCCAGTTGATGACCCGTGAACGTCTTGACGATCGAGCCCGTCTCGACATCGTACATCCTCACCAACTTGTCATACCCTGCCGAAACAATGTGCTTCTCATCCGGATGGAATCGACAGCTGTACACGTCGCCCACACCCGCTCGCAGCGTCGTCTTGCACTGTCCACCCTCGACGTCCCACACTTTGACGGTAGAATCACCGGACGCGGAAGCAACATGCCCACCGGTACGCGTAGAGTCGACGTCCCAGACACGACTGCGATGACCCTCCAGCACGCTTTCGCATCTGCCCGTGTTGGAGTTCCACAGACGGACAGTGTTGTCGCTGCTACCACTGACGAGCTTGCGACCTTCTTCGCCGACGAATCGGACGCTCTTGACGTTCTTGCGGTGACCGCGCATGGTGTGAGCCACCGAGTTGGGGACGATAAATCCGGTGTAGTCGTGGAGGAGGCCAGAGATGACGGGTGCCTTTTTGGGGTGGTATCGTGCAAACTCGACTTGGTAGGCTACAGCCTGATGAAGCATGGTCAGCAGTCGATGTGGCGGGACGTACGTGTAGCCGTTAGCAGTAGCGTTCTTGGATGCGCTGGTCGAGGCGACGCTGTCGGTCATCATGCCGTCGTCCATCAATTCTGAAGGTTCCCGACTCTCGCTCCTCCCGCTGCTCGCGTTGGTGGAAGCTGATCCGGGCAAACCGGCCTCCCTTTCCATCCAGTCCTGTTCGAGCATGGCGGCGAACTCCATGACCAGCTTCTCCCTCCCTGGTTGGATCCCCTCCCATGTTGCAAACGATGGAGCATCTGTCACCGCCTTGGCCGATAACAAGTAGCACAAATCCCTATACTCGGACGGATGCGGCTGGTAATGCTCCAGCGGCTTCAACCTCTTGTTCAAGAAAGTGAAGCCTTTCTGAAACTCTCGATGCTCGATGTGTTCCAAGAACTGTTGCTTGTATACGGCGTACAAGAAGGCCTTGTGGTTCTTGACGAGCGGTTTCTGCAGGAGCTTATCCACCTCGGGCCAGTCACCTTCGAGTATGTGACCTCGCAGCTTTCGTGCGTCGAGCCCTGCTTCCTCCCTCTCACGTCGCTTGATGCCGGCTTCTTCCATGAGCAGCTGGCGTGTTGCGCCGAAACCTTCGTCGGCGAGCCACTGGTCGATCATGCGGATGATGTCGTTGCGTACATGTGCATCGTCTGGACGTAAGATGGCGGTTCGAGATGAAGCGAGGGAGGCTTGGTTGGGGTTGGGATCGCGCGAGGTACTTGCTGTGTGGGCTGTGAGTTGACCGACCGTCTGGCCGAGGATAGAGGAGTTCTGGTAGTAGGGATGGTAGCTGTAGGGTGGTGGACGAAGACCGTGGAGCTGGAGGTCGGCGACGGTGTGGTCGTTCGCTTCGGCGAGAAGGACTTGCTTGCGTCGCTTCCATGTTTCTTTTGTTCCTCCTGATGTGGACGCATTGGCGCTACCGTTGCCAGTCGCACCATTCGCAGCGCTAGCGCCGCTGCTGCTCGCTACTGCTGATGTTTCTGCTGCTGCCGAGATGCCGAGCCCGTTTATGCTATTGCTCAGATCCGGATGTGCGCTCGCTGATCGATCCAAGCTAGACGAAGCTGCAGTAGCGGTCGGGCCGATGGTATTTGTGCGAAACATGGAGCTCGCTAGCGTCGGAGAAGTGGGCGCGGTATACGAGCCGCTCGTTGTGATATGATGGGGATTCATGGTGAACGATGAGGATGCGGAGGGTGTCCTGCCATCTGCTCCAGACAATGATGCAACATCAGGAAGCTGGAAGGTGGAAGCGCGCGGCGTAAGGGGTACAGGCGAAGGTTGAGCGGAAGAGGTCGTGTCAGGATGAGCTTGTGGGTCGTGCGTCGGGCTGTGGTCGCCAGCCGCCGTTACGGTGATTTGAGTGGGATGCGACGGCCTACCGCTGCTGCTGCTGCTGCTTCTGGCTTGATGTTGCTGCTGCATGATGAGCTCGAGTGTCGCCGCACTGTCGGCGATTGTGCTCGGAATTCTTTCCCTCGAAGACCCGATGTGAGAAGCGAGTCTAACGAAAGGGTGGTGTTGTGTTGGTGAAGGGTGTCGAAGATGCCATGGTATGCTGTTACTCCACTTGTGCGCTATGCTTGTGCTTGTGACCTGAGGAAAGGACCCTTGAAGCATAAAAGAATCAACAAAAATCAAGTATAAAAATGCGTCTCGAAAAATGGCCAAAAACTGTGCTTGGAAATCGCTATTCCCCACCGGCGATGCGATTCGACTTCCGCGCGAGAAGAAGAAGAAGAACGCTCTCGCCGCACGGACGCTGCTGCTGCTGGGCTTTGACGTGGAATACAACGCTTTCCAACAACCAACGGCCTTTGCTCTTTACTGCTCACCATCAGCTTCTATCATTAACCTCGACATCACATCCATCATGAGGACGTCCATATCCTCAATGGCCAAATACGGCCTTCTCGCACTACTCTCGCTGCTCGCTCTCACCCAGCTTACCTGCACATTCGCCCAACGTCAAGCCAAAGAGCAAGACTCGCTCTTCAAACAGATCCAATCCTCCGGCAAAGGATTCATCGATGTCGACACGAACGAATTCTCGCAGATCATCCAGGTGCCTCGAGACTATGCGGTCACTGCGCTGCTGACCACCACTACTGGGAGTATCAAGTGTCCACCGTGCCAAGCGTTCCAGCCCGAGTTCGAGAAGCTGACGCAGCAGTGGAACAAGAACAAATCCGTCAAGTCGAAGAACGTATTCGTCAAGGTCGAATTTAACCGTGCTCAAGGCGTATTCGCCAGGTATCAGCTGCAACACGCTCCCGTACTATACACCTTCCCGGTACCTACCGCAACCGACCAGTCACCCGAACACATCTCTTTCGACTTTAACGCTCGAGGTTTCTCCGCCGAAGAAGTCGCCTCCCACCTCAACAAGCTGCTCAAGACCAAGTTCAGCTACAAGCAACCTTTGAACACCAAACTCATCACAGCCACCATCACGGGTGTCATCACGCTAGCCGGTTCCATCTTCTTCCTGGCACCTTACATCCCGGCTCTGTTCTCCTCGGCAAAGCCGTTGTGGATGATCCTCTGCATCGGAAGCATGATCGTGTTCAACTCGGGCTACATGTGGAACTCGATTCGAGGCGCACCGTACATCGCGGCAGGTCAGGGTGGGAAGCCGGAGTACTTTGCGGGCGGGTTTCAGAATCAATATGGGGTGGAGACGCAGATCGTAGCGGCCATCTATTCGTTGTTGGCGTTCAGCTTTATCGCGCTCACCGTGCTGGTGCCGAGTCAGAGGGATCCGGTGAGGCAGAGGGCGGGGGTGTACGTTTGGAGCGCGATCTTTTTGGTGACGTTCAGCTTGCTGTTTTACATCTTTAGGATCAAGAACCCGAGCTATCCGTTTAGGCTCTTCTTTTGAGCAGCGGAGAAATTCGCGATGAGAGGGCGGAAGGACAGAGGGCAAGTGTTTCTAGATGCATCGTGATCAGGAATGCGAATCATCTTGATCGAATTTCGGTTGTGTGGTCGATAGATTAGGAATGTTTCGCTCAATCGTCATCCGTTTCCTTCTCAGCTCAGAAGAGCGACACGGAATGAGACACAGACGAGCAGTCCGAGAAAGATATGAAGCCCGTAACAAACGTAGTATTGCAACACCGAATTCTCTCTTGCTCTTCGCTTCACCTGCCAAACACCTTCTTCTCGAGCAACCTGAACGGCACGTACAGCACGGCACTCGCCACCAATCCAGTCTCGAAGCCCAGATCGCCGCTCCTCTTGGCCACGGGTCCCGTAAACCAGACCTGGCTGATGCACGGCACGACGATCGCCAAACTGACACAGCACGCACCGACCGCCGCCAACCCCGGTGGCAACTTGTTCCACTGGTTCCAGTGTTTCGCGTTGTACGTCGTGACATCGGCTCTTCGGATCACGACATGATCTGCCAACACGACGCCGATGTACAGACTCGCCCAGTAGCCCAGCACGCTCGTGAAGTCCGTCAACGTTTCGTAGAACTTGCTGTGGCCTACGATCGCAAGCGGCAGGAAGATGGCGGTGGCAAAAAGAGGCCAAACGAATCGAGGGATGGGACCGAGGAACGGAAGCATGGTCTGGAAGTTCAACCCGATGCTGTAGATCGTAGCCGAGATGTTGCCGCACACGGACAGCGCGAGGATCACGACCAAGAACCGACCAAAGTTGCCCAGAGATCCGGCGAGGATGAGCTGGAAGAACTGTCCACTGGAAACCGACAACGCCTCGGACCATGCCGGGTTGTCGTACGAGGAGCAAGCGAATGCACTGCCGATCATGATGAACGGAACGCACGAGAGGAAGAAGCCGAAATACACGGACCAGAAGAGCTTGTGCGGCGAGACGTCCGGACGCAGGTAGTGCGAGACGTCGGATACGAGGGCCGAGTAGGAGATGATGAAGCCGGCGATGATGGCGGCGAAACCGAGGATGGAGGAGGCGGATGCGGTGGGTTGGTTCGATGCGACGTGCAGAGCTTGCGGTCCAACACCCGCTTTACCGATGAGTATGCAGAAGCAGATGAGCGTGGGAAGCCAGAAGAATCGTTCGAAGTAGTGCAGCACTCGGATGCCGCTGAACGACACGACCAACGCGATCATCGCCGCAACCACAATCCCTACATCCGGTGTCAACGTCGACGATCCATCGGCTCTCGACGAAACCGCGGAAAGCGTCTGCCCCCCTACGATCGAGTTGAGGATACAGTAGCCCAACATCGTCGCCAAATTGAGCAAGCTGATGAGACTCGCACCAAAGTACCCGAACGAGTAGCGGCAGTGAATCATCTGCCTCATCCCCAGCTTCGGCCCGAACAGCGTAAAGTACGCCGGGAAGATGCAGCAGAACCCACCGACGAACAGCGTCGTCAGCATGGCGGATTTCATATCCATCTCGAGCAGCGACACGAGCGTCCCCGCCGAGAAGGAGAGCACATTGACGTTGCACGAGAACCAGATGAGCGAGACGCTCCACCAGTCGCGACCGGTTCGTTCGGAGAGCGCGAGCGGTCGGATGGATACGGATTCGATGCGCAACACGGAGAGCTTGGAAGCGAGCACATCGAGTTGGCGCGTGAGGGCGTTGGATTGGATGGTTCGTTTGTAGTCCGAGATGATCGAGTCGTCGACGGTGGAGCTGGCGGATGAGGAGAGTTCGGCTTCGTGAGCCGGGGTTTGATGCTCCAGGTCGAGCTGTGACGGTGGGAGTGTTGTCGACATCTTGGTGTTAAGAGCGGACGGAGCTGAATGAGCGTCCTTCCAGTGGTAGACGCTCCCGACAAATGCCAGACCAGTGGCAAGATAAAGATGGAGCAGCAGAAGAGGCAGTCTTTGGGTATCGGTGGCGAGAGGAAGAAGGTTGCAAATGCCAAATCTGCAACTAACTGGAGTTTTGTGCCTTTGACACTTTTTTTCTCACCAGGGTCTTTCATCAAACACACTTTCCGCTCTGCATCCTTCTGACTCGGAGTGCGTTCCGATGCTTCGTTCCTCTTTCGCACCTCGCTATCAGTTCGAACAACTTGCAACGTTGTATTTTGCATAAACGACACCTTTGCAGTTCAGTTAGTTGCCTCGTGGCTGCTGACTGCTGGCCACGCACTGCCCACGTTTTCTCGAGTCAGAAGAAATCAAATTTGAAAATCGTCTCGGCGCGAGAAGAAAATATCGGCGCTTATCCAACGGCGAACCGCGGTTTCAAGGGTCCTCCAACTCTCTCTTTCCCGACCAAGCCGAAGCCGCGCTTTGCCGATCTTTTTCGACCTGGCACGGATCAAGCGTTCAAAGCGTCCTGTACCAAGGTGATGCGACTCACACTATCGATTCTGCATTCCCAGCTGTCAGTGTTTGTCATCATCGTCAACAATCTTATCATCCGATATCGATGAGCTGATCATCGTCTACGTAGACTTCTGCTCAAGCCTGAAATCGCCGATTCGCCAACTTCCAAAAGGCGCACGCATCATCGCTTGACCTTCTCCAACCTACCCGCAACATCCTCGATCCTGCTCTGCAACGAATTCAGATTCGCCTCCACCGTCTTCCTGTTCTGCTCCATGTTCACCTCCATCTTTTGCAATAATGCATCGAGTTGCTCGCCCTGTTGCTGGCGTTCTTCGTTGGCCTCCTCCAGCTCCTGCAGTGTGCTGGCGAAATGCGAGGCGGACGAGTGGAGGTCGGAGAGCGTCTGCAGACGCGTCAGCACGGAAGGTACGATGGGTAGCAGTGGTTCGAGACGTGTAGAGACGTCAAAGAGCTGCTGGAGCTTGGTGAGTTCGGCAGGCGTGAGCGTCGAGCTCGAGTCGGTATCTTTGGTGGCTTCCGCATTGGTGCCGAGTTTTCGACGCACGTCGTGTACGCGATCCAGTTCTGTGACGAGCACTTTGACGCGTCGACTGATGGCATCTAGATGACGAGGTTGTGAGAGCAGCGACAGCTGGTGTTCCAGCCGAGACAATGTGGATAGTACTGGGCGAGGGACGGGTTTGGACTCGTCTAGTAAAGCTTCTTCGAGTCCAAGCGTCGATTCGAGTTCCGATAGGCGTGCCTCCAATTGAACCATGTCAGTGGTGCTGGTGCTTGCTCCGGATGCTGCTGGAACTGAAGAAGTCGCAGCAGTCTTTGAAATTGATGATGACTGTTTGACTTGCTGGAGCAACGCCCGGATGTTCACCTTGTCGGCTTGGGTCTCGTCAACTGTCTTGACGGAAGATGTCGGCAGGGTGGCCAGTTGCTCCTGAAGAAGCTTGAGCTGATCCAACACTTCGGCGTTTTCCCCGACTTGTGTCCCTGCCTCCTTCTTCGTTGCGTCTTCGCCGTTGGATGACGCAGCAGCAGCGGCATTCAACTCCTCCTCCAACTGACTCGCTTCAAACTTGAGCCTTCGCAGACGATCCACTACCGACTCTGCACCCCTCGCGGCTTCCCCGTCCAACGAATACGTCGTCGTCTCGAGCCCCGCATCTCTGGGCCGCGTCGCAACCGTCTTTCTCGTTCCTCTCCTCCTCCCATGCAGTCGGCCTGAGAAGTCTGCTCTATCCACATCCAACGCGGTGGCACCGTCAAACTTGGCAGCTGCATCGTTGCGCCTCAACGACGAGCCGTCGATATCATTGGACGCTCCTGCTTTGCCATCTCCAGCATGCTTGCGATTGGCACTATGGTCCGAGTCGTCGCTGTAAGAATCCGAGCCGGTATCTTGACCATCGCTGCGCTGCTGTCGTGATCGCTGTCGACCGACGCGGGTCGGATCGCGGTTGGGTCCTTGGTACTCGTACACGTCCGGTGCTGATGTGTCGACGTCGGGCAGGCTGGCGTATTTGGTTTGGCTGGCGGAAGGTGCACTGCCTAGCGCGCCGATTGACGAGCTGGATGGATCGGACATGGTTGGCGCAGAGCAACGAGGGTTATCGGCGATAGTGTTGTTAGAGGAGGAGATGGTGGTGCTTGGGTGCGGGTAACTTTTGGGAACCTGACGAGACCAACACCTTTCAAGTCGCGTTTTTGGATTTTTGTGTGCTTTGTCTGACACGCGCCTGGCACAGCACAACGCACGACCCACCAACACACCAAACTTCTTCGACTCCTATTTTGCCATTCGATCTGGTCTCAACAAACAGTCTCATCATCTACTTGATACTGCGACATACAGTATGACATTGAGTTTGAGTTCATTCGGGTTGGCATTTGGCATTTGGATCGCGACAACACACGAGTCGTGAAGCCATTTCTTCATTGCGGTCACCAGGCGTCTACTGTTGGAGGCGGGCAAAAGTGCGATCCATGGCCTCCTTGATCTCGGCGTACACCTGGTCCACCGTCTTGATCGAGTCGACCTCCACCACGCGGTCCTGCTTTCGATAGTAGTCGACCACCGGCATCGATGTCTCGACGAACGTCTGGAATCGTTTCTTGATCGACTCGATGTTGTCGTCGGCCCTTCCACTCGTCTTGCCCCTCTCCAAGAGCCTTTCGAGCATCACCTCTTCGCTGCACTGCAAAAACAGCACGAACTTGGACTCGCACACGGATTCGTCAAACTTGATCGCCTGGTCCATCTTGCGCGGGAATCCGTCGACGAGGAATCGTCCCTTGCCGTCGGTCCACTTGGATTTGTGCTGTTCGGGGATCGAGTGTCCGGCTTCGGTGGTGCCTTGTTTGGAGAGAGCCTCGGCGATGGCGTTGGAGAGGAGCGCGACGGTAACTTCCATGGGGACGATCTTGCCTTCCTTGATGTAGTCGGCGATCATGGAGCCGTACTCAGAGCCGGGACGTTGCTGTTCGGCGCGAAGAAGATCGCCGGCGCTCAGGTGGACGAAGCCGTAGTCTTGGACGAGACGGGCACACTGGGTGCCTTTGCCTGCACCAGGTCCACCGAGGACGAAGACGACGGTCACCTTGGATGAGTCGAAGCGAGGGGTGTCCTTCTGAGCCTCAGCGGCGACAGGTGCCGGGGCAGAGTCGACCGCAGGGGCAGCAGCAGGAGCAGGAGCGCCGTCATGAGCCTGCTCGGGCTTCTTGTGCTTGAGCTTGTCGAACAGCCCCATCCTGCCGAGTAGTGTCTTTGACCAGTCTATGTTGGGCGAAGTGTGTCGATACGCGACGAGTCTCTGCTATACCACCGCTGATGGGAAGTACGCGAGAGACAAGAATTTGTCAGGAGAGGTTGGGAAGCACTGGAGTCTGTGCGACGTGATTTAGTCGAGGTATATATGTATGCGGTTCGCAGGCGTGCGAGATCACTGGGGTTCCTGCGAGCGAGGTGGGATGAGCGGGTTAGGGTGAGGAATGCGTTTCTCCCGAAGGTGCTTCTGAGGATCGTCGTGACGTGTGCGAGAGATGTAGGCGAATGCACCGAACGCAGCAACGGCAATCAGTGCGAATCCAACGGGGCTCGGATGGTCCTTTTGCGGTTTGGAAGAGTAAGCTCGAGTGGAGGTGGGAGATGCAAGGCGGTCAAAGCGTGCAAGACGGATGGACTTTGCCGGCAGTGTGCTGCGTAGCATTCGTGTGTGTCGTGTGATGAGAATAGGAGAAGGAGCGACGAGATGGAAGTTCGGGATGCAGGTGAGTGCAAGCAAGCAAGCACGAAGAGCAGACAGGGGATGATCTGCAGCAGACCAATGCGGTCATTACTCCCCCAAATTTGTGTTGATCTGTCAGTGTCCCGCTCTCATTCCGCCATGCCATCCTGTGCCTTTTCGGTTGACAATTTTCGGACAGAGATGACCGAGTCGTACCGTGCCGCATACGCCACGATCTTCTTTTCCGCACCGCCGTGCAGGGCTTGCAGGGCCCATGTGCATCCACATTCAAATGTGGTGCGAGAGTGCTGGCGCCGTCAACGGAACAGCCTCCCGAGAAGCCTGTCATGGATTGCTAATGGAGTACAGTAGCGAGAGGATGCGAAACGGAAGGCGTGAGGAAGCCAAGCAGTATGATGTCTCGTACGAGAGATTGCGATGTGGAGGATCGAGTCTGAATTCTTGACTCTTACCACCTGATCGCGACCCACGTTGCTGATCTCGGCCTCACACCTCCATCGTGTCGCCACGGTCGCACCCACCTCGGCAACCTCTCTGATAGAGGTCTCGATTCGGCTGCAATGGCACCGTCCTCATCCTCATCTTCGTCGGCGTACGCGTTCAAGCCGGGCGGATCGCTCAAGCTTAAGGGCGATGACGGCAAGAAGGATAAGAAGAAGTAAGTGCCTCTCCTCCCTACCTTGTCTACTACGGTTCGTCGTACAAGCCAAAGCAAGCTGACGTTTCTGGCTCTTTTCGATCCATATCCACCATCGCACGATAGAAAGAAGAAAGTGAGATCATCGCTCTCCCACGATTCCAGGCACGCAACCGTCGCTGATTCCTCGACGGCGACCCGCTCTTCCAAGCAGAAGCATGTCAGGGATCACAGCAACGACGAGCAGGAAGACGACCTTGCAAGATTGGAAGGAGAGGTAGGCATGGGCTTGACAACGGAGGGGAGGAAGATGACCGAGGCGGAGCGCAAGTTTGAGGAAGTTCGCAGGAAGCGTCTTCACCAACGCATCGCAAAGGAAGCGCGCACGTCTCACAAAGAGAAGGTCGAAGCGTTCAACAAGTATCTCGGGTCGCTTTCGGAACACCACGACATTCCCAAGGTTGGACCTGGTTAGCGACAGCAAGCCCTCTTGGAATTCAGAGTATTGTTTGGTACAACGTTGTCTGGCAGGCTGGCTTTGACGTGACTATCCTCTTGAAGCCTCCATGAGCGCAATCGAATGAAGCTTCGAGAACGCTATTGTACCTGTGAAGTTGCTTTGTTCTGCATGTGAGGGATGTGTCGTCTCACAAATTTAGTGAGGAGTCCTCGATCTTTCGATCTTGAAGCCAACAAAGTCAGGGTCCAAACAAAATCCGATCCGTCGAGCGGCATTTCTAATCTTGGCGAAACGACTGGCTCGCGTGGCATGAAAAACGGCGGCGATTCTTCGATTCTTCTGCTGCTTGTCCAACGTCGAACAAGATTTCTCTTATCTCTTCGTGCACCTTCACCCCCACCATCCCACCTCCGTCCTGCATCTGTCACAGACATCCTCTCTCGAAGATGTCGACGGACGCATTTCAGGCGGCTCGCGTCGCCATAGACGAATGCCACAAGAAGGATCCCGCCTACCTCAACCGTTCCACCTCGCCCGCCTCCTCCTCCGACGAAACCAATACCAAGGTAGACGAACTCACCTATGCCGATCGAGTGGAATACTGGGCCTCCCACCTGATCGGTCTTCGACTCGAAACCACCGAATACCACCAGTTCGCCTCGCTCGTCTCGCCCTCCTCTACTTCCGATGTCGAATCCATCACCCGCACCGGCGAACTCCTCCGCATCGCCGCACGTTGCCAGCATCTCGAACGATTCCTCACTCCACGCTCCACCTACCCAGAAGGCAAAGCCGGCTATCTCAAGTGGAGACGCGACCTCTACAAGATCCAAGCCGATCGTGCCAAACAGCTCCTGACCGAAGCTGGTGTGGACGAGCAGAGTGCAGAGTGGGTGCACAAGTGGGTCAGCAAGACCGAGCTCAACCCTGGAAAGCAGACGGGAGATCTCGGAACGCAGCTGCTCGAGGACGCAGCCGTCTTGTTCTTCCTGCAGGACGAGTTGGAGCTGTTTGCGGGTCAACATCAGGAGTATGCCGAGCAAAAATTTGTGGATATCATCAAGAAGACCTGGAGGAAGTTGAGCGAGTTGGGCAAGCAGGAGGCGTTGAAGTTGAGCATGCCAAAGGGGTTGGAGCCCATCGTGTTGAAAGGTATCGCTGCGTTGGAGGGCGGTGCAGAGCAGAAGCAGCAAGAAGGGTAAGAATGCTGTGGTCCGAAAGCGGTTGACCTTTGATACCCCTCCCTCCTCTCCCCATTTCCCCCCGGTTCGGCGGCCGCTCTTGGGCCTTGATGGTCTCTCTTTGTGTTGCTCTTGGATCGACTACTTCTACTCCAACGTGCATGCAATAGAGTGAAATCGCCACCTTTCAGCCTAGCGGCACTGTTTTGTGATGAGTTGTGCATCTTTCATCTGAAACTCCCTTCGTCGGATCCTTGTCTAACGCCTGTTCTCTTTGTCCTTCCCCCATCAACAGCTCATCAACACTGATATCTCCCGCATCGTCGACCCCTCTCGCGCAAAAGAAGCAGACCTCGTCCTCCGCTCCCATCCCACCACGAGCGCTTCGACCCAAAACAGCCGCCGAAGCCCAAGCCCTTCTCGCCTCTCTGCCCGAAACCTCTTCCTCTACCGATCCCGACGTCTTTGGCGCACGTCTCCTAACCACCACCTCCGACATTTGGTCCCACAATGCCTGGGATCACGTCGTCCCACCTCCGTCCTACTACGACCTCGCCGCCACCACCCTCGCCCAACAAGCCGAGACCAAGCTCTCGCTTGACGAAGCCGAACCGTACCACGCCGCTCCCGCGTCGTTCTGGGATACCTTCTACTCTTCGCACGAGAACCGATTCTTCAAGGATCGAAAGTGGTTGCACCTCGAGTTTCCAGAATTGGTAGAGGCGAGTTATGCCGGTGCGGGAAGCAAAGTTGTGTTGGAGGTGGGATGTGGGGCTGGAAATACGGTGTTTCCGCTGTTACAGATCAATCAGAATCCGGAGTTGGTAGTTCATGCGTGCGATTATTCCAAGGAAGCGGTGGGAGTAGTTCAAAGTAGCCCTCTGTACAAGGATCCACCTGGAGGTGCAACCTGCCACGCTAGCGTATGGGATCTCTCAAGTCCCACCCACCTACCCGCCGGATTACAACCCGAAAGCGTCGACATCATCGTCCTGATCTTCGTCTTCTCCGCCCTCCACCCCAAAGAATGGTCACAAGCAGTGACGAACATCAAACGTCTCCTCAAACCGAATGGGATCGTCCTAGTCCGAGACTATGGCCGTTATGACATGCCCCAGCTGCGATTCAAAAAGAAACGAATGTTGGAAGACAATTTCTATCTCAGAGGTGACGGTACCAGGGTATACTTCTTCCAACCCGAACAGCTGTTTGACATCTTCAACGCCCAACCCCAGACCACAACGACGAATACCACCACCGAAGAAGAAGACGTCAAAGACGCGGATCAGGGCAATACCGAACTAAAACCCCACAACAGTGTAGAGACGGACAATAGAGACGATGGAGGACTGGCGATTGTGGAAAAGAAAGAGGAGGAGAACAAAACGTACGATTTCTCCACGACTCAAATGGCCATCGATCGAAGGCTGATCGTCAACCGCAAGGAGAGGAAACAGATGTACAGGGTCTGGTTGCAGGCCAAGTTTCAGCGTCTGGACGGGTCTTCAGCATAGAGAATCGCCACATCTTCAGTCACCTGTAGACAAGCTGTATTACATATCGCACATCAGTTCTAAGCAGATTGCGTATTTATATTGTCAGATGAACGAAAAGCGGATGAGAAGCGTTGCATGCGGACCTGAATGACAGCAAAGTAGGATTGGGATCACTGAATTTTAGAAGCAGCCGTGTGGCGCACAAAGGCCGGCTTGTTGGCTGCAAGAGAGTGGAAGGGTATGGTAGCATAAGGAGCCGCAAAGGTAACGTTCGAATCGCTTAGTCATCCGAGTCGTCGCTCATGAACTCGTCGTCGTCCTCAAAGACGGCCATGTCCTCGAATGCGACCTTGTATCGCAAAACACCACCGATACCACCGAAGCCCTTGCAGAACTGCATGCCCTCCTGCGATCGATCCGTGACGAACTCCAGGTTGGTACCGAACTGACGGTAGTTTTCCGCGAGCCACTCGAGCAGCGGCATAGGCTCTTCGACTTGCTCCATGGCCTCACCAGTGGCACGGTCCATGAAGCGCGTGCGGTCCTTCTCTTGCTCCTTCGTGAGCATCAACACCTGCTGGCTTCCTTCGCTGTCCTTGAGCACGTAGCGAGTGACGTCGAGGTTCTCCCATACGATCAGGGTCTCCACCGCACCCAGATCCAACGCCTTAAAGGTGTCATCCAGACCGAAGCAGTACTTGCCGGTCTCCATCGAGATCTCGTCAAAGTACTTCTGGATGAGCTTCTTCTCCTGCACGAACTTGACATTAGAAAGCGTCTCTGCTGCCAACTCGATTGCCTGGTTGAAACCGTTTTCGCCACCATAGGACACGTCGACGATCTTGACGATCTTGGGCTGGAGACGGTAGTCGAACATGTCGGATTGACTGAGTTCGGTCTTGAAGTCGGCGGAACCTGCAAGCACGAGACCGGCGACGTTGCACTTGTTGTCGGTGATAAAGTGTTGGGTGGAGAGCTCTGCGATCTTGCGGACATAGTTGTGACGGGCCTCCTCACGTAGACGGGCGAAACGGAGCGCTGACTGACCACCACGACCGTGCTTCTTTGGCAAGTCCACCGAGAGCTTCTGCAGTACTGTGCGCGTGTTTCCGGAGAGCGTACCGAAGAGCGAGCCATTACCGTCCATGACGATGAAGCCGAACTTGGCGTCCGCTTCGAGTAGCTCGCTTAGCGCTTCTGTGTGGAACTTGTTGTCGCAAAGGTAGAGTGAGGTGTTGATGGGCTTGAAAGGCTCAAAGGAGAAGTTGACCTTCTTCTCCTTGCCTTCGTCTGTAAGGATAGTGCCACAGTATACTACGAGACCGTTGTCGGGTACCCTGTTGTAGAGTTTGAGACGCTGCTGTGTGGAGGTGATGGCGGCGAGCACCGAGAGACGGTTGACACGCGACTTGATGTTGGAGGCGGTACCGTACTCCTGGGTAAGCATGTTGGTTGCCTGGGAGATCTGGGACTTTGGTGGAAGAATGAGCGAGATCATCGAGGTACCTGCACCGCGAGCAGCATCGAGCTGCTTTACGAGCTTCTTGATCTTCCAGATCTGGATGTTGGCCTCTGCGGCATCTTGTGCGTTGGACATAGTGGATATGGAATGATATCAGATATGAAGGCGATGCGATCGTTCTACGTGTCTCTGCTGGGTTGTGCTGCGGAACAGGAAGTAATTGGCCCGTGCAAGTAAGCTGCCAGTGTCGTCGAAGTTGAAACACGAAAGGTGCAAAAAGATGACCGACGCCACAAGAAGGTTGCCAGCGAAAGAGATGCGGACCAGGTGCGGGGCGCTTCGATGATTGAGACGAAGGAAGGGCTCGATAGTAGCAAGAAGAGGGACGAATCGATCGATATCTGTTTGCGCTTGGCCGTCGAGTGTCCTGTTTGCGTGGTCGACGTGAGAAGAAACCTGAAGAGCGCCGTCAAAAAATCGAAGCAACGATACAGTTGTAAGCGCCACCGCACACCACAGCAGAGCACTCAACGCCCGCTCAGCTGTTTCCACAGCGATTTATCCAACTGCCAAGACGTCCTCACCGAAAAATTTCTGTGCATACCGCGGACAATGAATCGGGAGCCGATCTGTCAGATGTCTTTTTGAGTCTAACAGTTCTCCAAATTCTCGTTTTCAGAACCAATTGAAATTGCACTGTTCTGACTGCTTCCGTTTGATGTCGCTCGGAAACGCTTCCGGTCGTTGCAAGAGAGAGTGGAATGTGCACCGGCTACATTTGGCAGTTCGGATCACAGCACAGTGCGGTCAGTTCAGGATCGGGTTGCAACTCAGAACAAAAAGAGGATCGTCATTTGGCTTCGGTTGCACCGCCGCTTGGATTCAACGGCCGGTTAGAACTCGACTTTTCCAGCCGGTCTCGTCGGTCATCAAGCTTCGAGAACAACACGCATCGTTTACGACTGCCGGCTCTCCTTCTCCTTCGTTCAACTCGCCCACGCTCGGTCCACCTGCTCGACCGCTCCATCCGACTGCTCCCACACTTCCGCTCACGATCATGCAATAGGACCTGCCTCGATACCAACGATTGGCATAGAACGCGAATACGAGCTTCGGTCGTTCCTTCTTGACCTTGCAGGCGAGCTTCTCGTGACGGCGTCGACATGTCTCGCTCATCCAAAGCAAAGGGCCGCTCGGCCAAGTCGACAACAGTGACGATACAATACGATGCCACGCTCAAGTCTTCGCTCGTCCACCTGCCCATGTGCCTTTACGCACCCCTGGTCGACCTTGCCGTACCTCCACAGTCGCTCGTCGTCGAAATACATCCGACATCCACCACGAGCCAGTTTGTCGCTCCCTACTATGCCGGTTGGTCAGGCATGAGTGCAGCACCGCTGTCGGTCGCTAACTCGCTTTCACAGAAGCCATCATCGTCATCATCGTCTGCCAACGGAAAGTCGACCGCATCCGACGTGCTCAACATCGCCCCTTCCCTCGCAGCATCGTTCCATCCTCCCTTGCCAGACGGTGCCATCTGCTCTGTGCGTCTCCTTCGCTCTCCGCCTCTTCCCACCGCCACCAAGATCGATGTCACCCCATTGTCGGCTGACGACTGGGAGATCCTCAGTTTGCATGCTGAAGAGGTCGAGCTCAACATGCTTGGCCAGGTGCGCGCAGCCACTACCAATCAGGTCATCACCGTTCATGTCGGCAGAGGCGCCAACACGCTCGTGCGCTTCCGCGTCGACTCCACCACCCCGAGCACAGCCGCCGTAGACGCTGCTGAGCCCGACACCGACGATGCAGATGCGGCTGCCTCGGCCATTGCCGTTCGACTCTCTACCGATACCGAAGTCATCATTGCTCCTAGATTGCGAAAGAAGGCCGTCGACCCATCCATGGAAGAGGAGCACTCTTTGCAGCCTACCAATAAGCCAACCCTCAATGGATCCGGCGCCGGGAGCGAGGTGCACGATCTGCGGCACACGCTACCAAAGCTGCTTTGGCGCGTCTTGCCTCAACGCTTTGCCCAAGGTCTGCACCTCGACAGCTTCTCTACAAGTGTCGTGGTACCATCATCGTCGGCGATAGGTCATGCCCAGCTGCAAACGGTCTACCCGGATAGCCGCTTATCCGTCACCAAAGTGTCGTGTCCAACCAACAACAGTGCTCAGGAGATGTCAAATGCAGGCAGAGACAAGGGCTCTGCTTCCACATCCGCGAATGTCTTCGACGAGGCGAGCAACGATGCAACCACCTCCTCAGGTAACATGCCTGTGAGGCCCACAGCGAGCGCTCGCTTTATCAGTGCCGATGATCTGCCAGGCGCCAGGATCCACAATGATGCATCTTGGCCAGAACGACATGTTCTGGTTGGCGCCAGCCTACGTGAACAGCTCGGCATCCAGGATTATGATCTACTTCGGTTTGGACCCCCACCTCCCGGATCTGCCAAATCTGTCCCATCAAAGGCCACTCAGCAAAATGGTGATGCTTCGACGGCTTCAACGGCAGCAGAGGAGAGCGAGTCGGACCTGGCCGGCGTCGAGCGCATCCTCAGTGATGCCAAAGAAGCAATTTCGGCGTGCTTCCGCGCACGCGCCCTCGAAGCGTCCGCCGGCTCCGCTTCCGACACTAGACCGTTCCAAGGGTCCTCGAGCATGCTGCTTTCGGGAGGGCCTGGCTCCGGCAAGACGGTCGTCGCCAAACAGCTCGCTGCCGACCTCTCACGCGACTTTGAGCTTTGCCTCGCCACTTCGTACTACGACTGTTCGCCTTTCAGCGAAGAGCGCGTCCCCGTGCTACGCGCCCGCTTCACCGAATGGCTCAACGAGGCCGCTTGGAAAGCTCCCAGTCTGCTCATCCTCGACAACATCGATCGCATCATCCCGGCCGAGATGGAACACGTCGATTCGCAGCGTTCACGTCAGCTCGCCGAGGCGTTTGTCGCAAGAGTCAGGGACTGCGTCAAGAGTTTCGGCGTCTTTGTCGTGGCAACAGCACAGGCCAACACGAGCATCCACAGCTTGTTGAACTCCAGTCATTTGTGGCTCGACAACATGCAACTCAAGCCGCCCGGTAAAGATGGAAGGCGGGACATCTTGACGCATCTGGTAAGCAAGAAGCTGAATAATGCCAATAAGGATGGCGAGCGGGCGAGTTCAGAGTTGAACTTTGTCACCCTGGCGACGCAGACCGAGGGGTATCTGCCGGCAGACTTGAAGGACCTGGTGGAGAGAGCCACGCATCAAGCTGCCATCCGCAGTGCAGAGACAGGCGCCAAAGCCAGTCACGGTCGTCCTGCAGTCAATGGCCTGGCAAAGAACGGCAACCAGCCTGTCGTTGCGAACGGGACCGCCGCTCATCAAACAGACGCACACGAAGCCCTTTCAATTACCATGGATGACTTCACGCAGGCCCAGGATGGATTTACGCCCTTGTCATTGCGAGACGTCAAGCTCGAAAAATCTTCGGTCGCATGGTCCGACATTGGCGGCTTGGTCGAGACGCGTCGTGTGCTGCGCGAGACGTTGGAGTGGCCCACCAAGTATGCGGCCATCTTCGCTTCGTGTCCGCTCCGACTTCGATCGGGTCTCTTGCTCTACGGCTACCCAGGATGTGGTAAAACGCTCCTAGCTTCGGCCGTAGCGAAGGAATGCGGACTCAATTTCATCAGCGTCAAAGGACCCGAGATCCTCAACAAGTACATCGGTGCGTCGGAGAAATCCGTTCGCGATCTGTTCGATCGAGCTCAAGCAGCGAAGCCATGCGTGCTGTTCTTTGACGAGTTCGACTCCATCGCTCCGAAACGTGGACATGACAGCACCGGTGTGACGGATCGCGTGGTCAACCAGATGCTGACGCAGATGGATGGTGCGGAGGGTCTGGATGGAGTGTACGTGCTCGCTGCGACGAGCAGACCGGACTTGATCGATTCGGCACTGCTGAGACCAGGAAGGTTGGATAAATCGTTGCTGTGTGATATGCCGGGAGAGGAGGATAGGCTCGACATCATGAAGGCGATCGCTACCAAGGTCCACCTGCATCCAGAGGTCAGGTTGGACGAGTGGGCGAAGAGGACAGACGGCTTCTCGGGAGCGGATCTGCAAGCTTTGCTGTACAACGCGCATCTGGAAGCCATCCACGAATCTATCAACGCGGTGGACGCAGGTGACAAAAAGGAGGAGGAAACTCAAGGCGAGGTGAAATTCACCAGCATCGGTGGCGGAAAGAAGACGCTCAGCGGAGCCGAGAGGCAGGCGTTGGTCAGGAAGTTGGAGTTGGTACTGAAGAACTCCCAACCGCAGATGAAACGCGTTTTACCGTCAAACCTCACGTCCAAAACGGCATCGAACGGCGTAGAGGTGAAGAAGAACAAGACGCTGGTGACGGAAGCTCATTTGGAAACGTCGATCAAGAGCACGCGGCCGAGTGTTCCGATGGAAGAGCAGAGGAGGTTGAGAGGGATTTATAGGACTTTTGCGGGCGACAGGGAGGGCAACTTCCCGGATGGAGAGGCAAGTACTCAGATTGGTGCTAGGAGCAGTCTCATGTAGCACACTAGGAGGAGGCAATAGAAGAAAGAATGGTGGTTTTGACGGTGCAGATGTGTGCGGTTGTCGAGGGTCTGTGTAAGAGGGAACTGTGGGCGAGTAAGGGCATACAGCATTGGGCGCGTATAGGCATCTTCATATTACGCTTGCCGATGGAACGGCCGGTTTCCAACAGAAGATCGTAATCCACTACCACGCTTGGGCGGGGTGAGCGGACTCGTTCCACCGACGACCACGGCTAAGAAAGGACAGCAGGCGACGATGAGCCTACATGCCAGCCCCGCGACTCACACCTCTCTCGGTGCTGCACGTCGCAGCAGTCATGCGATGCTCTGGTCCACATAGAGCCCACACCTTAGTATTAACAATGGAGTCACACCTTAATCCTAACAATGGAGTTCCACACCTGACGTCCCGTGCCACTGTACATGTGATCTCACAGAGAGACAATCAAGAAGCGGCTTGTTCCGAAGCCTGTGCCGGGCTTTGCCGAAGGAAGAGAAGAACCGAAGTTCTCATCCTCGGGTTTGTGCATCATCGAGGCCCAAGCTGCGACCAGGTCAAAGTTTGGGCTGCCATGTAACGTAGGGTTCTTTTGATTTTTGCACAATTCGACGTCTCTTTCACGTTCAGATCCCGCACAGGTGAGATTTCGTCTTTTTTTGCCACTGCCACGCTTGCAGAAGAAGTGACCGGCGTCAGCGAATCACATGCATGAACGTACGTGCTCTCCTCCCGGCACCCTTACTTTTCACACAGTGTGCTGGTGTTGCTCTCGGTGCAGAGAAGCGACAGCCGAGCGGCGATCTGGAGCTCCAACAGCTCCGCAGTGAGATGCACCTGACGAGGCCGTTTCAAACAGTGACCAAAGTGCGTTGTTAGCCGAGTCGAGAGAAGAGAGCTCTAAATGTTTGGTGGGTTTCCACGAGCGTTTCGGCGCGTGGCGATTAGAGAAAAATTCGATTTCGATTCCTATTCATCGGAAAGTGGTAGGGTACCTGAGTCTCGCGGGACTTGCAGTCTTCTGCTTCTGCCTCGGAGCTGCATCTCGGAACAGACGCTGGAAACCCCCATTGTTCTGTAAACTGTACCAAAGATTTCGCCTCCTCGTTTCGGCTGAACTCAAGACCTCGCTTTCAACAACAACACGCAACACGAGCGAGGCTTTGGCTGTGGCAGCAAGCCATGCTTGCACCCCATGCAGACAGAACACGCGCAACCTTCGCTTGACTTTCAAACTCAATTCTTTCCCCCCCCC